TTTTTTCCTAATATTCTTTTCATTCCAGGATCCCGCAATTACATTCAGTTATGTCCCTTTAGCCACCTAAGATGTTTCTGTTTTTAATAACTTCAGATTCTCAGCATTTTAATTTTTTTTCCACATCAGATGGGTAATGTGCTGATGTTGTAACAAGGTGTGAAGGAAACACATCTCACACAGAAGTGTGAAAGCCCAGTCATCATGAACTACAGAAGGATCTCAGACCTGTTTTTGATGACCATGACAATTTTAAGGAGTACTAGTTGGTTTTGTGACATGTCCGTTAAGTAAGGTTTTCTGAATGTTTTCCTTCTGGTCTTGGGAGGAAGACCACAAAGGGGCATTCTCATCACATCAAGGGTACATGTTATTAATATGACTTATCACTGATAATATTGATACAAATTTTGGTCACCTGGCCAAGATAGTGTTTGCCAAGTTGCTGTAAAAATTTTTTTTTTCCTCTTCACATATTGCGCTCTTTAAGTTACTAAGCACAATCCATACTCGAAAAGTGGGGAGTTAATCTCCATCTCCTTGAAGGGGGAGTGTCTACATAATTATTTGGGCTTTTTCTGTATAGGAGAGATGCCACCTCTCATTCATCAGGTCATTTACATAAATGTGGACTCATGGGTACTTTATCCTTTGGGTTATAATCCTATTCTGCATTATTTACTTTGTTGCTGAGATTCGTTTCATCTTTGGCCACTGAGGGTTCTTTCAGTTGGCTTCTGTCTCCCTTTCACATGTCTACATCCTTGTTTGTGGAATAATACTTTCTGGCACTACAATATGCCCTAGACCAAGAATCAGCCATTTCTCTAGGGAGCCCTGATTCCTTTTCTTGGAGAATGGTATTAGAAAAGAAGACCTGGGCATTGGATGTACTCATTGCTACTGGGGTGTCTGCTGCTAGGCCTTCCCAGTAAACAGATATATGCATGTGTAATAACCCAAATGTACATACATAATTGTAATTTCTGAATTCTTCTGGAAAGCACAATTTTTAAAACTGATAAAATATACATAAAACTTGCGTTTTTTTTTTTTTTTTTTTTTTTTAAGCTTACATTTCTGTGGCATAAAGTGCATTCACATTGCTGGGCAACCATCACCGCTGTCTGTCACCAGAATCTTTCATCTTCCCCCAACACACACAGTATCTATTAAACACTGACTCTCCATTCTGCTTTTCCTTAAGCCCCTGGGAACCATCATTTTACTTTCTGTCTTTATGCTTTTGACTATTCCAGGTACTTGGTATAAGTGGAGTCATACGATATTTGTCCTATGCACGACTGGCTTATTTCACTTACTGTGTCCTTATTCATCTATATTGTAACATGTGTCTGGTTTTTATTTTTTGAGATGGAGTTTTGCTCTTGTTGCCCAGGCTGGAGTGCAGTGGCATGAACTCAGCTCACCACACACTCCGACTCCCGGGTTTAAGTGATTCTCCTGCCTCAGCCTCCCAAATAGCTAAGATTACAGGCATGCACCACCATACCCAGCTACGTTTTTTGTATTTTCAGTAGAGACGGGGTTTCTACATGTGGTCAGGCTGGTCTGGAACTCTTGACCTCAGGTGATCTGCCCGCCTCGGCCTCCCAAAGTGCTGGGATCATAGGCGTGAGCCACCACACCTGGCTGCCTGTGTCATTGTTTTTAAAGCTGAATAATATTCCATTGTATGCATATACCAACTTTTGTTTACCCATTCATCCATTAGTGGACACTAGGGTTGTCTCTGCCTTTTGGCTATTTTGAATAAAAGGGCTGGAAACACAGGTGTACAAATATCTGTAGAAGTTCCTGCTTTCAATTTTTTGGGGTATATACCCAGACATGCATTTGTTGGATCATATGCTAATTTTTTAAAATCACTATACTGCTGTACCATTTTACATTCCCATCAACTGTGTACATGAATTCCATTTTCTCTATTTCCTTGTCAACACTTGTTCTGCTTTTTTGATAATAGCCACCTTAATAGGTGTAAAGTGGTATCTCATTGTGGTTTTAACCTGTACACTTCCCCAATGATTACTGATTTTGAGCTTTTCATGTACTTATTGGATAATTCTATATCTTTTTGCAAGACATGTCTATTCAAGTACTTTGCTCATTTTTTCAGGGTTTTTTTTTTTTTTTTAATGCAGGAGTTCTTTTTCTTTTATTGAGACAGAGCCTTGCTCTGTTGCTGAGGCAGGATTGTAGTGGCGCAATCTCAGGTCACTGCAACCTCTGCCTCCCGGGTTCAAGCAATTCTCCTGCCTCAGCCTCCTGAATAGTTGGGATTACAGGCACCCACCACCATGCCGGGCTAATTTTTTTTTTTTGGCATTTTTAGTAGAGACAGGTTTTGCCATGTTGGTCAGGCTGGTCTTGAACTCCTGATGTCAGGTGATCTGCCTGCCTCGGTCTCCCAAAGTGCTAAAATTACAGGTGTGAGCCACCATGCCCAGCCAGGATTTATTTGCAGTTTTCTCCCATTCTTTTTCATTCTCCTGGTAGTGTCCCTTGATGCACACATTTTTAATTTTACTGGAGTCCAATCTATTTTTTTGTTGTTGTTGACTGTGCTTTTGGTCATACCCGAGAAATTACTGCCAAATCCAATGTCGTAAAGCTTTTCCTTTTTTTTTTTTTGAGATGGGGTCTTGCTCTGTCACCCAGGCTGGACTCACTTCAACCTCTGCCTCCCAGGTTCACTCAATTCTCCTGGCTCAGCCTCCTGAATAGCTGAGATTACAGGTGCCCTGCCACCTTGCCTGGCAAAGCTTTATATTTTTAATAGAGACAGGGTTTCACCATGTTGGCCAGGATGGTCTTGAACTCCTGACCTCAGGTGACACACCTGCCTTGGCCCCACAAAGTGCTGGGATTACAAGTATGAGCCCTCACACCAGGCCAGTAATTCTGTTTCTTTTTTAAAGAGTTTGATAATTCTAGCTCTCTTTTTCTCCCAGTCTTGGTGGGTGGAGCTAGTTTTTTGTGCATTTTAAGTTAATATTTGTATATCGTGTAAGGGTTCAACTTGGTTTTTTTTGGTATGTAGAGATCCAATTTTTCCAACACCATTTGTTGAAAAGACGATCTTTTCTCCACTGAATGGTCTTGGGACCCTTATCAAAAATCATCTGACCATATATATAAAGGTTTATTTCTAGGCTTGTGATTCTATTCCATTGGTTTATATGCTAAACTTTATGCCAGTATCATACTGTTTTGGTTACTGTAGTTTTATATTAAATGTTGAGATCAGGGAGTGTAAGACCTCCAACTTTGTTCCTTTTTCATTTTTGAGATAGAGTCTTGCTCTGTCGCTCAGACGAGTGCAGTGGTGCGATATTGGCTCACTACAACCTCTGCCTCCTGGGTTCAAGCGATTCTCCTGCCTCAGCCTCCCCAAGTAGCTGGGACTACAGGTGTGTGTGACCACCTCTGGCTAATTTTTTGTTATTTTTAGAAGAGATGGGGTTTCACTGTGTTAGCCAGGATGGTCTCGATCTCCTGACCTCATGATCTGCCCGCCCTGGCCTCCCAAAGTGCAAGGATTACAGGCATAGGCCACTGTGCCTGGCCAACTTTGTTCTTCTTCAAGATTATTTGGACTATTTGGGGGTCTCTTGAGATTGTGTATGGATTTTAGGATAGATTTTTCTATTTATTTTTGCAGAATGTTGGGATTTTCACTGGGACCATATTGAATCTGTAGATTACTTTGGATAGTATTGACATCTTAACAATATTGTTTTGAATCCACGAACATACATTTTTTTTTTTTTTTTTTAGACAAGAGTCTCACTGTGTCACCCAGGCTGGAGTACAGTGGTACAATCTTGGCTCACTGCAACATCTTCCTCCTGGGTTCAAGTGATTCTCCTGCCTCATCACCACCATGCCTGGCTAATTTTTGTATTTTTAGTAGAGAAAGGGTTTTGCCATGTTGATCAGGCTGGTCTTGAACTCGACTTCAGGTGATCCACCGTTCTTGGCCTCCCAAACGCTGCGATTACAGGGTGAACCACAGTGGCTGGCTGAACATGTGATACTTTTATGTCTTAATTTTGTATGGCAACATTTTGAAGTTTTCAGTGTTCAAGTCTTTTGGCTCTTTGATTCGGTTTATGCTATTGTAAATGGTGAAAAGCACAATTTAAAGGAAGATAGATAGGCATATCATTAAGTCAAGGTATTCATGACTTGGTCCCCATGCTTTTATGGGAGACTGCACTAACAACTAGAGATCTTTGGGATGTTGTATACAATCTTTTTTTTTTTTTTGAGATGGAGTCTCACTCTCTTGCCCAGGCTGAAGTGCAGTGGGACAATCTTGGCGCACTGCAACCTCCACCTCCTGGCTTCAAGCAATCCTCCTGTCTCAGCCTCCCAAAGTGCTCAGATTACAGGTGCAAGCCACCACCGGGCGCAGTAGGAGGCAGAGGTGCGTGGATCACAAGGTCAGGAGTTCAAGACCAGCCTGGCCAAGATGGCGAAACCCCATCTCTACAAAAAAAAAAAAAAAAAAAAAAAAAACCAGGTATGGTGGCACCTGCCTGTAATCCCAGATACTCGGGAGGCTGAGGCAGAGAACTGCTTGAACCCAGGGGGCAGAGGTTGTAGTGAGCAAAGATTGCGCCACTGCACTCCAGCCTGGGCGAGAGTGAGACTCTGTAGCAAAATAAATAAATAAAATAAAAAATAAAAAAATTAAATGCTAAATATCTGTGTGTAATTCTAAGTAAAATCTCAAGTGACTAATATTCATTATATTGCATGTTACAAAGCTGTCTCTCTTCAATTTAATTTAAAACTAATTATAAAATAACTTTTGCTGATTTAGGTCAACACTCCTTTAGTCTATTTTTGTCCTCCACATTATGTATAGCACGTAAAAGAGTGCTAGCTCACATAGGTGGCCAAAAAATAAGGAGAGTTAAGATTCTCAAAAAACAAATGTTATTTAAGGGAAAAAAAGACAATCAACAAACTAGGCTTAACTTTAGATTTTATTTTTCCCCAGAACTCTTAAGCATCACCAAGTAACAGGCGACTTTTGGAATAACAACTCTTTCCCAGGTTGTAACCCTTTCCAGGAGACAGAATTTATTAAATAATATGGTTCCAAGATGCTTCCACCCCAGAATTCTAAACCAGTCATAGAATCATATCTTCTTAGGTCTTGATTAAAATCAAACAATCATCTACAGACACATGTAACAGAATCAAAATAATATATGATGTTTCTTTCCTTCTCTTACTCAATATACTTCCCTCTATTCTCCAAGAGTTTGTTACTCAGATGTATGAATACAGTCAGCTCTCCATATCCACAGGTTCTGCATCCATGGATTCAACAAACCGCCAATCAAAAATATTCAGGAAAAAAAAAATTCCACAAAGTTCCAAAAAAGCAAAACTTGAATTTGTCGAACACCAAGCAACTATGTTGAACCCATGCAAATGAAATGATGTGTAGGTATTTTATTAAGTATATCTTCAGATGATTTAAAGTACACAGGAAGACGTATGTAGGTTATATGCAAATACCATATGACCCATATTATACAATAGGACTTGAGCACCATGGATTTTGATATCCAGTGGGATTCCTGGAACCAATCCCCCATGGATACTAAGGGATGACTGTATTGCCCTTTCCAAGAAAGCATCTACCAGCCCTGATTCGTGACTCAGAATGAGGAATTCCATATTCAAAAACAGTAAGTATTCCGAGCTAACTGTCCTTAGCCATCAATAAATTAAACTGGGCCAGGTGTGGTGGCTCATGCCTATAATCTCAGCACTTTGGAAGCCAAGGTGGGAGGACTGCTTGAGCTCAGGAGTTTGAGACCAGCCTGAACAACCAATGAGACCCCACCGCTTAAAAAAAAAAAAGCCAGTCCTGGCTACTTGGGAGGCTGAGGTGAGAAGATTGCTTGAGGCCCAGGAGGTCAGGGATTCAGTGAGCTGTGATTGCACCACTGCACTCCAGCATGGGAAACAGGGCAAGAACCTGTCTCAAGAAAACAAATTAAACTTGTTTTACTCTATATTTGACTTTGTTTTAATCAATATCTTCTATTTGCAAAAGCAAACCCCATTTTTAAAACTCCTTACAATTTCCACTATGACTCTGAGAGGAAGACAGAGGGAATGGGGACGAGTTGGCTTGTTTTGTGAAAGATTCTGAAAAGGGCAGTTTATTTACTTTGAAGTCACTAAGTAGAAAAACAAATGTTCTTTTTTTGATAATGAAAGTCCTTGTAGGTAAAGACCAGAAAATTCTGGTCCTGAAATATATATTACAATATTGTTTTCAATACATTCAGAATTTATATTACTCTTTAATTTCTTTTCCCTGAGACTGGCTTCACAGTTTGGTAAAGATACTTTCAGAGGTAGGTAGTAGGGGTGAAGAGGAAACAATGTTTATGTCTAACAGCACCTGGGAATATATGTAACATCTGTCATTTTGATCTCGGCATCTATTCCGCAAATGTAATAGAAGATGATCGTTTTCCTTTTTATTCTTATCTGCCTAGACTCTCTCTTCTATTAAATCCACCCCAGCATTATCACTAATCATAACAATGAATTGCCCTTCCGAAGATATGCTATAAAGCAAACCTTCAATGTCAGGTTGTTTAGATTTAGAAGAGAAAGGCTCAAGTGAGTTAACTTTTATTCATAGTCATTAGGGAAAACGAGCAAAATTTCCAGTAACCCCAACCACTGCCTTTTCTCCCCGGACCTAGTTAATTCCTATCAACTCTTTAGTTGACTCTAAGGACTGGGCTCTAGGAGATCCTGACAGCTAAAACACAGATACAGAAGAGCCTGCATAAACGTTTTGGTCCAGGTCTTGGCCTTCAGTCTTATGATGGGCTGGTGGAATACTGCTTTATCAGATGCTTGTGACAGGGACTGCAAACTCGCTCAGGCTTGATACTTGAAGGAAGAGGCAGTTCATTTGTTGAACAGGCATCACAGAAGGTTCCTCTGCAGTTCTTACACACATTCTATAAGGAGAAGGAGGTGAGGTGGGGAATAGAAGAGGAGCAAGGCATAAGGATTCACGGGATATAAAAAGCCAATTATGGTAAGTTCTCAATGCCTAATCAAACACTGAATGGATGTTTACTACGTGCCAGATAGTATCTGAACACAGACCCAGTCTACAAAGAAGTTCACTGTCTAGTTTTTAGATTAAATGAAAAGAAGAAGTACCATAGAGTTAAAAATAAAAACGGGTAACATACAGATCACTCATCTTTGGAATATACTTCACACATCTTGTTCCCCATACTCACTTTTAGGTAGGTTAGTTTTAAAATTAGCTTGCAAATACCTGAGCATACTCCAAGTAAGGCAGTGATGAACAAAGGATTGGGTAAACAGGTAGGATTAAAAAATGTTCTGAGTATGAACTGAAAGTATAATTCCTCATACATGGATATGCTTAATGCTTTCCTGTGATCTTTGATGCTCTATAAGAATATCCTTTCGGTTATCAGTGCAGCAGGAGCACAGCTTCCTGCATCTTGTTCATAGAAAAATTGTTCTGCTTTCCTAAACATTTTCAGTCTTCAATAGTCAAGCACTGGAAGAGCAAGACGTCCCTATAGTGGTGTCAGCGGTAAGGCTGTGATAGGGTGGTATACACAAAGCTCAAAGGGTCCCAAATAAAGAGCTGTGATGAATAACTTCTCCCATGAAGTACTAAATTCATCTCAAATAATTCATCTTCCTGAGGGTGAGAGGAGTAGGGGGTTGCTTTTATTTGAAAGCCTGAGAATTTTTGTCTGACATGCAGAAGTTAATGTTGCATGGCTTAGAAGATGAAAGCCAGAATTAAGTTTCTTCTATTTTGTAACATATTTCTATAATTACACCTTCCAGTTCTATAAGGGCAGTTCATCTGTTATCTGATTCTGTGAATTTAAGACTAGGTCATACTATAATTTCACTTGTTAAAATTCGGCATGATCACAAATGGTGCTATGCAGGTTGTAATCCAGAATTTGAGCCGGCTTGCTGTATCTCTTCCAAGTACATGTTTCATACACTCATTTGTACATAACTTTTCTTGACCACTTGACCACTATGGATTGGGTACCATATTAGATGCTGGGGGATTCTACCGTGGACAAGACGCAGTTCCAGCTACCAAGGGCACTGGTTCTTTCTGAATACTTCCTTCACTCTGCCTGCTCTAGGATAACAAACTGGGAAGGTGCTCAGGCAGATGACACCCTTGAGGATTGGGGGAGCAGAAATCAAGTGGTCTAGCGGGAAGAGCTCATATCCTGTTCTGAGCAGGATATAGTGCTGAAAGGACTGTGGACTTCGGAGCTAAAGCTAGGTTGGAAGCTGCGTTTCACCACCTACGACTTGAATAATTTTGGGAAATGGACTTAGCATTAGATGTTCAACGTTCTTCACCTGTAAAATGACAGCTACGAAGGACATAAGCCTGACAAGAACAGATTTGGTCTACTTTGTTCATTACTCTTTCTCAGCACATTCTACATAGGAGGCACTCAAGATTTACTTATACATTTCCATCTGCTTATTTGTTTTAAATTACATAGTTATTTATGTTTATTTTAATGGGAACTTACCGACATCAATTACTATGACTGAAAAAGAACAGGTACCCAGTAAATGCTTGCCCCCTTTGCTTTCACTTCACTCCCAGCACTGTGAGCATGTACTCTGCACTCTATGAGGCAAAGTCCCTGTTACTCCTGGGGATGGACTGGGGGTGCTGTAGGCATCCCTACGAAAACCCTGTCCATGTCTTACCGCAGTTACCTTTGTTAGGCTGCCATCTTCCTGGCATAGCTGACACATCTGTGGTTTTTCAGAGAGCAGCAGCTGATCCTAAACCATACAGTGAGCTGGTTAGTTTTCCTTGGTGCCAGAAACATTAGTATTTTCAGAATATGAATTTTTTAGCTACAATATTAATAGAATCACACTATAGACTGTCGGGAAACTAAAACCAATTATAAACAAGTAGTCTCACCACCATAAAAACTCAGATAATATTATTATTATCCTTCCAGCTCTTAATTTTTATAATAAAGTAACATGACTTTATTTCTAAAAAGAAAATTCAAGCATATGCAAGTATAGAGTAAAAAGTTTTAACATTATCCCATTCCTCGTTTCACTCTACCATCAAGAATGAAAAGCACTAGGGGTTGGGCCTGGTGGCTCACGCTTGTAATCCCAGCACCTTGAGAGGCCGAGGTGGGTGGATCACCCTGAGGTCAGGAGTTCAAGACCAGCCTGGCCAACATGGCGAAACCCCATCTCTACTAAAAATAATAAAAATTAGCCAGGTGGGATGGTGCATGGTTTTAATCTCAGCTACTCGGGAGGCTGAGGCAGGGGAATCACTTGAACCTCGAAGGCAAAGGTTGCAGTGAGCTGAGACTGTGCCACAGCACTCCAGCCTGAGTGACAGAGCAAGACTCTGTCTCAAAAAAAAAAAAAGGGAGAAGGGGGAAAGAATGGCAAGCACAGGGCATGGAAGCTCACGCCTGCAATCCTAGCACTTCGGAAGGCCAGGGCAGGCAGATCGCTTGAGCCCAAGAGTTTGAGTCCAGCATGGGCAACATAGCAAAACCTCATCTCTATTAAAAATACAGAAAATTTACCAGGTATGTGGGCATGGTGCCATGCACCTGTAGTACTAACTACTCAGGTGGCAGAGGTGGGAGGATCACCTAAGCTTAGGAAGTCCAGGCTGCAGTGAGCTGAGATTGTCCACTGCACCCCAGCTTGGGCAACACAAGTGAGACCGCATCTCCAAAAAAAGAGTGGAAAGCAGTAGGATTTATTAATTTTATAACCTAAGAGGTAAATGACAGGGCGACTCAGACATAGTAGCATTCACTGTCTTTCTCATGGGCTTTCATACACTATTAGATTCACAAAGTGTTTTACAATCATTTATGTTAGCTTATTTTTAAGTGATCAAAACATCTTTTTTCTCTCCATTTTATGTAAGGGAAAACTAGAGGAAAGGTATATAAAGTAAGCTCTCTTAGGTCTTATGTCAGGGATAATTCCAAATAAGTGAGAACTGATGTTACTTAGTAAACTGCTGAAAGCTGCGCTACTTCCTAGGCAATACATATTTGTTGAGGGTATTGTAAGAAGGATGGCACACTGTATTCACTCATCTTCTGCCCACGCTACCTTTTTGCTAGCTAGACACAGTACAACCAGCTTCATAATTTATACAAGATGTTTTGAAACAGGAGGCTCTGTTACCTGTTCATCCACAGGGTGGGGTTGCAGCCTACAATGGAGAAGTAAAAAATAGTGACAAATAGCAACTGTATGTATTTCCATTTATATCATTTCAATAAAAAGCTCAGAATGCAAACATTTCTTCAAACAAGAAATACTGTACATCTTTCATATTACTAAGAACACAATTATTAATCTTGACCTTCAAGGAGGGAAAATTTTGCTTCTTAAAATCTATCATTAGAATCTGACCCCTGACCTATTATATTAGAGTTCCCATTTAAAAATAGATTTGAAGTTATATTTTACATTTCCCTTTTACTATCAAAATAGTTAGCATTTATGTTTCCCAATGTGCAAAACTCCAATGGCACACTGGCCATATATTTTAGTAGCTTTTTTTCTACTTGATATTATGGAAATCTACTAATTATCGCATATTATATATCAGTCCCAAATATTCTTAAGATGTGAGCTTCAGCAAATTAATCCAAGAAAAGGAAATAAATGAGACTGTCACCAAAAAACCCATTCAAGTTGAACTACTTCTTCATGAGACTAAGCTGAGCTAACTCTGATGTTCCCAGCGTGGACTAGGTCCTAAATGAGGCGAAGCAAAGCTCGCTCTCGGTTACGGGGAAAATGCACCACAGATTGCAGCAGTTCCTATTCTTTTCAGTTGAGTAGCAGTGTGATCACCAGACAAACACCGTGGGGTGACCAGGTTTTCAGATGTTCCTTGCCATCATAATCCTAGGAAGCCTGGTATGTCTAATGATTGCAGCTATAGCCAGAGTAAGTCCTGGAAATTGCTAATAGGTAATGCAGAGCCAAAAGACTTAAAAATAGGAGACAGGATAAACAGAGGCAACCTGGTAAGTCACCTAGCCTCTCTGTGCTTTTCAGCTTTCTCATCTGTAAAGTTGCATTAGATACTTCTATAAGGAATATTAAATCATAAGGAGATAATGAATGTGAAAGAGACAAATTCTAAGTTGCAGAGCACAATTCAGATATCAGGAAGCACTGTCCTATATTATCAGGACCTAAGTCAGAACTTGCCATTTAATAGACACTCCTGATTGCTCAAGTAAATGACCTGATTTTAGTTTGAAACTAGGCTCACCGTGAAAGGGACCTGGAAGCCCAGGTTAATTTCCTGGCCTTTCTAGTTTCCTTCTCTGCTTATGCCATTATGTAATGTAAGACGGGCAATAGTTTAAGGTTAGCTCTGGATCAAACCATGCTCTTTGGGAGCAAAATTAAAGACTTTGGGATGGCCTTTAAGGCAAGAAAGGGGCACTTAGGCCAAGCACCTACATAATTAGTCTACTACTGGACTGTGTGATTTCTCTTCTCCAGCAGCTACTTCTGTTCCAGATGACACACTACCTCATTCTTAAGATAACAAAGCCTGGCTAGGGACAGCTGTACAGTTCTCTCAAAACCCCACTATGGTATCATTCCTCATCACTAACCTCTTCCTCCACGTTTTAAAATAGACCTTTAAGTTTAGAGCAGTTAGGTTCACAGCAAAACTGAGTAGAAAGTACCAGGACTTCTCACATGCCTCCTGCCCCATCCCCAGCCTCTTTATCAACATGCGGCACCAGAGTGGCGCATTTGTTACAACTGATGAGCCTACACTGACATCATCACCCAGAGTCTATGGTTTACATTAAGGTTCACTCTTGGTGGTGTCTAGTCTGTGGGTGTGGTCAAATGTATAATGACATGTATCCACCATCACAGTATCATAGAGTAGTTCCACTGCCCTAAAAATCTTCTGTGTTCCACCTGTTCACTCCTCCCTTCCCTTACCCACAGGAAACCACTGATTTTTTTTTTTTAACTGTCTCCATAGTTTTGTCTTTTCCAGAATGTTATATAACTGGACCTCCTTCATGTCTTAATGCAGGGGCACTATGTAATATTTTGTTATATTTCTAAACTGCTAAAATAACTATAAAAAGTCAGCTTCCTTGAAACTATCCTATGCTCTTCATTGTGAGAAAATTAGATAGAGTTGGGAAAAAGGAATGAAGTTAGGCTGTTTGAGATTCTCAAGAGAAAAGAAAAATGAGAGATGAGAGATAAATCAGAGTACCTATTTGAATTTTTTTTTTTTTTTGAAATGGAGTCTCACTTTATTGCCCAGGCTGGAGTGCAGTGATGCCATTTTGGCTCACTACAACCTCCACCTCCTGGGTTCAAGTGATTCTCCTGCCTCGGCCTCCCAAATAGTTGGGATTACAGGCAGGCCCAACTAATTTTGTATCTTTAGTAGAGGCGAGGTTTTACCATGTTGGCCAGGATGGTCTCAAACTCCTGACCTCAGGTGATCTACCCACCTTGGCCTCCAAAAGTGCTGCGATCATAGGTGTGAGCTGCTGTGCCTGGCCACTTATTTGAAATTTAGCACAAAGGTAGAAACAAGTCATACTCAAATATATTTAAGAAGCTAAGAAATGCTATGTATGACTTATACTTTATTCTCCTGGGATACCAATTCAGTAAAGGTGAGAAATAACCTCTTAAGTGATAATTTGAGCTTGGGAATTAATCAGGGAAGAGAGAGACGACAGCCTGATTACCCTTCTTTCCTCTGAAATGGCCTAATGGCTTTGGTTTAATACATGTCATGTGATTTATTATTTATTAACTTCCACTTCAAATGTCTTCCTGGCATATTAATAAGTCGGTGTCAATGCCAATGTATATCAAAAGCTGCCTCCTTCCCACAACCCCAGAATAACTTTACATCTTAGTTAATACTTGATTAACAAACACCTGTGGCTTTCTTCCAGGGACTTTTTTAGTTTAACATTTTCCTCTTGCATTTTGTGCTTCCCATCCTGTCAAAAGAAAACAGCCCAATTTATTAATTATTCTGAATGCTAAACAATGATGATATTGCAAATATTTTCTTCTGCAATGCTTTAGTTTGGGTATAAAGCTAAGCAGCTTTTGCATTAGGGAAGGGATCTAACTTTCAAGTTATGTTTCCTCATTCTTTGTTCTAAGCAGTTTCTTAACAATTCTCATAGTTTGTGACAAATGATTTTCAAAGTAGATATTTTAATTCTTGAGATTCAAATAAAATTCAGAATGTATTCTATTTACTTGCAAAGTTGGCTCAAGATATTGGCTGCTTCTTAGGAGAAGTTTAATTTTTTTTCTTTCCCCCAGACTGAGCTCTGAAAAACTGGTAAAACCAAGGATGGCCATATCCAGCAGACTATAATCCTCCGGATGGTCAATCAAGTTGATGCCCCAGTGCCACAGCTTTTTTTTTTTGAGACAGAGTCTCACTCTGTTGCTCTGGCTGGAGTGCAGTGGTGCCATCTTGGCTCACTGAAACCTCTGCCTGTGGGTTCAACCAATTCTCCTGCCTCAGCCTCCCAAGTAGCTGGGACTACAGGCATGTGCCACCATGCCTGGCTAATTTTTGTATTTTTAGTAGAGATGGGTTTTACCATGTTGGCCAGACTAGTCTTGAACTCCTGATCTCAAGTGATCTGCCTGCCTTGGCTTCCCAAAGCGCTGGGATTATAGGTGTCAGCCATCACACTCAGCCCAGTGCCACAACCTCTATAGCCTGTTCAACTCAAGTAGTGTTCTACTTGGCAGGACAAATGTAAAGTTTCAAACTGCATTTCTACCCACACCCCAGGCATTTTGTTTTTTTTTGAGTTGGAGTCTCGCTCTGTTGCTCAGGCTAGAGTGCTGTGGTGGGATCTTGGCTCACTGCAACCTCCACTTCCTGGGTTCACTCCAGCCTCAGTCTCCTGAGTAGCTGGGATTACAGGTGCACACTGCCACGCCCAGCTACATTTTTGTATTTTAGTAGAGATGGAGTTTCACCATGTTGCCCAGGCTGGTCTCGAACTCCTGAGCTCAGTCAATCAATCCGCCTTGGCCTCCCAAAGTGCTGGGATAACAGGCAAGAGCCACCGCGCCTGACCAGGTACTTGGGCAGTTTTTAGGGCTACATTTTTTCTCTGGCATACACACCTACTGCTGCTTGCCTTCAACTGCTGCCCATGTGCATCCAAAAGTGAATGTATATTCTTTTTGTTTGTTTTGTGAGACAAGGTATCATGCTATTGCCCAGGCTGGAGTGCAGTGGCATGATCATAGCTCAGTGCAGCCTTGACCTCCTGGGCTCAAGTGATCCTCCCACCTCAGTCTACTGAGCAACTGGGACTACAGGCATAAGCCACCACAACCAGCTATTTAGAATTTTTGTTGTAGAAATGAGGTCTCCCTATGTTGTTCAGGCTGGTCTCTAACTCCTGGGATCAAGCAATCTTCATGCTGCAGCCTCCCAAAGTGCTAGGATTACAGGGGTGAGCCACTGTACCCAGCTGAAATGTGTGTTCTTACACAACTCAAGCATCAAAGAAGACAGGTCAATGCAATACTTATCCTCCTGGAAACGCCACTGCACGAAACAACTGGAGATTGAAAAACTTAAAGCCTTATTAGAAAAATAGGGTAAGACAGGCCAATATCTGAAGTATACCTTTGTAAGCCTTTTAGTTTTTATGTTCACTAAACTAAATAAAGACAGCATGCTATATAGAGTGGTTCTTTATACACTTTAAATTATTAGTAGTGGTACTATTTAATAAATTTCCATATACCATTATTTTCTATTTGACAGTAAATCAGCAGCTCACTCTCTAGAAATTTTAAATAGTTTATAAACTGGTCCTGCTTTGTTATATACTAGAAGTATTCAAAAAGTTCATGGAAAATGCATATTAAGAAAAGGCTGTGCATGTACTTCAAAATTTTTTTGCACCAAAATAAACTTGTCCTTACTTATTTTAATATATCTGACCAGGATATAGTTTGAGTCACTAAAAAGGCTAAGACATTAGTTTGAAAAGAGCCCCTGGCTGGGCTGGGATCACACCTGTCATCCCAGCACTTTGGAAGGCTCAGGCATGTCGCTTGAGCCCAGGAGTTCAAGACCAGCCTGGGCAACATGGCAAAACCCCATCTCTACCAAAAAAACACAAAAATTACCTGGGCCTTGTGCCCATAGTCCCAGCTACTTGGGAGGCTGAGGCAGGAGGATCACTTGAGTCTAGAAAATCGAGGCTGCGGTGAGGCATAATTGTGCCACTGGACTCTATTCTAGGTGAGACTCTGTCTCAAAAACAAAAAAAGAAAAAGAAAAAGAAAAAAGGAAAAGCCCCTACCAGAGCAACAGGAATTCTGATAAAATTAACTGAAGCAAGAACAAACATCAAATTGCTGGTGAAGCTTAGATGGAAGAATTGTGAAATTATAGATGCTTTACAAAAAGCTTATGAGTACAATGCTCCAAAGAAATCATCAGTTTACAAAGGATAACCCATTTTAAGACGGGGCCAGGTAAGGTTGAAGATGAAGCCTGCAGTGGCAGACTAGCCACATCATTTTGTGAGGACTTTGTTCATGCTCTGATTGAAGAGGACCAATGATTAACAGTAGAAACAACAGCCAACACCACAGACATCTCAACTGGTTTGGCTTATACAATTCTGGCTGAAAAATTAAAGTTGAGTAAACTTTTTACTTGATGGGTGCCAAAACTGTTGTGTCCATATCAGCTATGGACCAGAGCACAGCTTTCAAGGGAAATTATAAACAAGTGGGATGAAGAACCTGAAGCATTTGTTTAAGGATTGTAACAGGAGATGTAACAACTTCATAGTACAATCCTGAAGACAAAGCACAATCAAAGCAATGGCTCTGAAGAGGTGGAAGTGGTGCAATCAAAGCAAAAGCAGACAGGTCAAGAGCAAAGGTCATGGCAACAGTTTTTAGGGAAGCTGAAGGCATTTTGCTTGTTGACTTTCTGGAAAGCCAGAGAATGCCAATATCTGCTTATTGTGACAGTGTTTTTAATTTTTTTTTTTTATTTTTTGAGAGGCAGTCTTGCTCTGTTGCCCAGGCTGGAGTGCAGTGGTGAGATCTTGGCTCACTGCAACCTTCACCTCCCAGGTTCAAGCGATTCTCATGCCTCGGCCTCTCAAGTAGCTGAGACTACAGGCACGTGCCACCACACCTGGCTAATACTTGTGAGAATGTTTTGAGAAAGTTAGCCAAAGCTTCAGCACAAAAATGCTCAGGAAAGCTTCAACAAGAGTCCTATTCCACCATAAATATGCTCCTACTCATTCCTCTCATCAAACAAGGGCAATTCTATGAGAGTTATGACAGGAAATCATTAAGCAATCCTGATTTGACTCCCTCTGATTTCTTTTTGTTTCCTAATCTTAAAAGATCATTAAAGGGCACCTAGTTTTCTTCCGTTAATAATCTTAAAAAGACTGTATTAATATGGTTAAATTCCTAGGACCCTCAGTTATTTAGGAATGGCCAACATGACTGGTATCATCACTTACAAAAGTGTCTTGACCTTGATGGAACTTAGGTTGAGAAATAAAGTTAATACGTTTTTGCCTTTTAATTCCATTTCCCATGATCTTTTTGAAGTCCCGTTGTAGAATATGTACACACAGGAGGCAATTTTTTCACGGTGTTTGTCATTGACAGAAAAAGCATTTAAAGCTTTACTGATTTCATTATTTCCTGGGCCCCAGAAATGACCTTATCCAATTTTAGCTCCTTCACTGCTATAGGTGCTGGAGGTTATCTCCTTCTAAGATTATTCTGTAGAAATTTCTACTTTTATTCTTTAAACTATTCTCTATTACCTTCCCTTCCTCAAGCCTAGTTCCCTTTCTTCCTAATTATTCGTATGAGAAGTTCCTTGAGGATACTCAAAGTGAAATCCTCATGATTTGAAAAAGGTATACAGAAGAAACTCCACATTGAGGAAAATTCTGTTAAGGTATTCAGGGTTGGAGAGGGATTATTATACTATTTTATTAAAATTATTAGCAGAAATCCAAGAAACAGAGATTTTTGTTAAGATACCAAAATAATCGTACTTAGAAAATTATTAAAAGGGAAACAGTTCACTGTGATTATTAAAATCCCCCTTTCTAAATGAAATCAAGTTAGAGGAAGTGTCCTAGAGGCAGACTCAGAATCAAGCTTTCATCTGTTCACATCATTATCAAGTATCTACATACTTGAGGACACAGCCCCTAAGTATGTGATCTGTAAAAGAAAACTGACAGGCCTATCAAGTTAGCCTCTAAAATTTAAACTGAAATTAAGCAAAAGAACAAGGGAATAGCAAATATTACCATCTTGGATTCTGGCTTCTGGGAACCCTTTCCTGGGATGCTCCTGTCATTTTGTAATCTTCTTTCTTTTTCCTGTTTTAGTTCTAACTCAAGCTGGTTCCTGAGATAAGTAGGAAAGGAAAAGGATGAAAAATGGAAATTTTACACAGACATATTTCTCTAAAGAATGCCAACACCTTGTCTTAAAGTGCAATAATTAAGAACGGTTAAGAGCTTGCTGTCAGAGACAGGTTTTTAAATGATAATGTTGCGACTTCTTAGATTAACCGTGTGAATCTGGACCAATTTAACCTCTCTAATCTCTACTTTTTTTTTTTTTTTTTGAGACAGAGTCTTGCTCTGTTGCCCAGGCTGGAGTGCAGTGGCATGACCTTGGGTCACTGCAACCTCTGTCTCCCAGGTTCAAGCAATTCTCCTGTCTCAGCCTCCCGAGTAGCTGAGATTACAGGTACTGCCACGTCTGGTGAATTTTGGTATCATTAGTAGAGATGTTGGCCAGGCTGGTCTGGAACCCCTGACCTCAGGTGATACACCTGCGTCGGCCTCTCAAAGTGCTGGGATTACAGACGTGAGCCACTGCGTCCAGCCTTAAGCTCTACTTTAATCTGAAAGTGGAGGCAAAAACATCACTAATAGGATTGATGTGAAGACATTAAATGGACAGCTTGCATGTGAAGTGCTTTGTAAAGTATCTGGCACACAGTAAGAATTCAGGAAATATTACATATTATTATTAGTGTTACATGGGCTAATAATGACTCTCCAGGATCGTGGCTCTAATTTCCTAATTCTTTGATCACAAATCATGTTGATAGGATTTGGGGAATGTTGATGTATGTGAAGCTTTCTGAATTCCAGTTCCAGAGAAAGGACATTGCAAAGACAGAGCCAACCTGGCTGGAAGTCATGAAACCCCTTTTCTTGCTGTCTACCCTAAGAATTACCCATGACCACCCTGTCAGCTCAAGCTGCCCCCTCTTCACCGCTGCCTGGTGAGCTCCTCGACTTCCAGCTGCAGACTGTTGATCTTGTCTCCAAAGTCCTGTTTGAAGAGCCGGTTGTCCAACTCAGCAGACTGGCGGCTTTGCTCAGCCTGGCGCAATCTGGATGTGAGCCACATGAACTTGTGATAAAAAACAAAAGCCATGGTGGGGAGGAAGACCAAGTTCACAACACAAAATAAAATAACCCAAGGAAGAATGCACAGAGAGACAGAGAGAGGAAAAAAACTTTGCAGGACACAGGCAAAGAAATTATGGGAAGAAAAAGATGAAGAAGAAACAAATTCTAAAAAAAAGTAAGATGAAGGTGAACCAGGCAGAGGAAAAGCTGGTTTTCCATTTTTTTTTTATTCTAGTACTACAGTTTACAGCCATTAGATGATAAACAATAAAACATCACTTTTTAGAAAATCCATATCCAAAGCCAACCTCAAGTACACAGTAATTTAAGTTAAATCCACTTTTTAAAAAAATTTCCTAATAGGTTTGGTACTTAATTTTTCTGTTTTACACACATAACTGGAACTTTAAATGGGCAACTACCTTCTTATACGTGGAAGTATAGTTTTTTCTTGTCCTTTCCCCCAAACCACATATATTAAATCATGGGACATTATATATCAACCCTCACCCAGGCTTTGAGTTATTTTATAAGGAAAAGCCTTTGTCAGAGTTTGGCTGCCTCCTTCCTTTTCCATTCCCACAAAATATGTGTGACTAAGTGGACAAAGAACTCAGCATTGGGCCTGTTTTAAGACTCTGACCATATTCTCCAGAAGATTCTGATTGATGTTTTCTTCTAAATATCTTATAACTTTGCACCTATGGAGAAGCATGTTTTAGAAGGTAAAACACTTGGGATTTTATGTAACAGAATTTAAAAGCATGCTATGTGTAGATTTTAGAAAGTTTAATTTTGGTATTTGATCACTCCTTCCAAATGCTCATAGAAAAGGCAACTCATCACCACAAGAGGTTGATGAAGAGAATATAGTAGGAGATTTGTTTATATCGGTGCAAATTATAAGAATTAAAATAAATTCAACAGCACAGGATCTTCTACCTCTATGAAGTTGGTTTAAACATATGTTCTTTGACTTGATTTTGGTTCAAGTCAAATCCGTGCAGGGACCTATATAAGCATACATGGAATCTATCTTACACTCTTAATTCTGGGTTTGCCAAGAAAAAGAAAAAGAATTTCAAGAGCGGGAAGCGAAGGGGTTATCTGTGTCCCCACCTAAGCAGCTGAAGTGCTGCAAAGCATACAAGAATGAAAAAAAAAAAAAAAAAAAAAAAAAAAAAAAAAAAAAAAAAAAAAAAAAAAAAAGAGGAAAAAAATCCAAATAGTTTGTCAAGACCTTTTGAAGGAATGAAGGCTTATGTAAAGCCTGTCTCTTCAAATCAAAAATCATCCTAAAAAAATTAACATATTTATAGGATTATTCACAATGTTAAAGCCTAGAAAGGGTTAGTCTATGGTCACTTAAAAAAAGAAGCCCTGCTAATATTGCTTGTGGATATCTACGTGGAATCAGTATTTTTGTACTAAATAATAATAAAGAAGGTAAGGTTATCATTTATTTCCTATTCTGAAATGTTTTTCTAATAATTCAATTATTAGCTTCCCAGAACCTTTAGCAAATCCCCATCTGAACAACAGAAACTCTTAAGTAAATGTTTCCAGGTAAGAAATAACAGACCAGGCAGAATATCAGCACTCAGGTCTATACCCTGTCCTTTTTACTCCCATAAGAAAAGCAGGATATGAAAAATGGGTAGTGCATCATTTTTTTAATAGGAGAGGAGTGTTTTTACTAGAATTGTTCTCTCTGAACTACCCAATAGGAAGCGGAATTGCAGGAATATGGCAGAGGTAGAAGATGACAAACATGAAGAGGGTTTCCCCAAGCATCACATTATTATATTATCATAAGTTACCTAATTGCTAACTTATCTCTATGTATTTTAAAGAAATATAAGGATGCTGTTTTTTCTTTTTCAAAAGTCACTAAGGCAAAAAAAGTTGCAAGCAATCTTGGTTACTGAGAATAGAAGTGTAGTGAAATACTAAGTGATATCCTTGGCTTGGGGATTAAACCTATATAACAAAAATGAAAAGGGGTCATGGTCTAAGAGACACAGAGCTATTTTAGAAGAGTCCAAGTTCACGTGGTAGTTACCTCAAGGTCATTACACTGCAATGGCAGAACAGGCTTGCAGATACAGACATGAACAATGCACCGAGAATCTGATATTATCAAGGACTGGGTAGTAAAGGCATCATTAATATATGTACAGAGCTTCAATTCCCTAGGCTTTTTAAAAAAGTGGTGTTTTTATTTATTGGTCAACTCAGAAATAATTTCTCAGAGTTTGTTCAGCATTTAATTAGGAACTCATTCCAATTTTTCTAACCCTGGGGAGAAAATAAGAAAAAACCCAATCTATATCTCCAACTGGTTTTTTAAAAGTCCAACAAATTCAAAGTCAACTTTTTGGTGACATTTTATATCGAACCAGAGCTTAAATGTAGTAACTTTCAGATTTCTTCCTTTTACAATTGAGTTGTGATATCACACTTGTGACATGACCAACTGAAAATGCCTAATGATGTTTTGGGATCAGTTTATTTGCTGCACTATTTAAGGTCTTTGCCTGTTTCACCAAATCCTTTTCACTAAATAAAATAAAAATGACAATGAAGTGAAAGGGGAACAAGAAAATGGATAAACAGGAAACACAAAAATAGCAAGAGAATAAGTCAGCTTAATAAAGAGATAAGTCATTATTTTAGTTCTGTTTGCTTTAAATTTCAAGTCAAAAAAAATCATTGAAAAGGAATTTGATACATTTCATTTCTAAAGCACAATTTATGAACACTAAAATCATTTTGTCAAATCATAATCATATAACTGATTATGAGCAAGTACATAACCGTCTTTTCCTAGGTAGACTGATACATTTTTATTTGGCCATATAAGAGGTTTCAGGCTTAATTATTAATTTGCCATTAACTTTTTTTTTTTTTAATGCCATTAACTTTTGAGTGAACATTAATATGCACTGCTGTTCAGGACCCTTACTGGTTAAGAATCATCTGAATAAGAGAAGTCACCCATTCATCCATTCATCATATATGTACTGAATGAATGCTTGTATATTCAAGGCACTGCAACAGATCTAATAAGGGAACTTAAAAGATTAGTTAACTAATCTCAGGGAACTTACACTCTCATCAGAAGAGACGTATATAAAGGGTTAAAAGGAAAAAGACAAAAGTGAGAAGTGTCACAAGCAATATAGATAGATGTGGATAGGAAGCTATGGGAATTCCCAGAAAGATCATTTCTAGCTGCAAAGAGGTATCAGAGGAAACTCTGGGGAGGTGGCATATGAGCCTAAACTTAAAAATGTATCTGAAGAACAAGGGAGTGGGAAGAATTAGGACATTTCTAATTGGTGGAAGAACTATTGGGAAAGAAATGAATGGGAAAAATGGGAAGTATATCCAGGGACCAGTAATTTAGTTTTGCCCAAGTGCAAGAAGGGTGAGGAACAGGTGTGACCCTGTGTGCTGTGTCACATTCAGTCTTGAAGACTCAGCCGTTTCTCTTGACTGCTGAGTTGCCACAGAGAAAATGGTTGTTTCACACAAACAGAGAAAGAGAGTAGCATAGGGAGAAGATGTGCTTTGGGCAGACATAATTGTAGGTACTAGTGGAAGAGAGCTGCCCAAAGTATGGAAACTCAAGACTGGTCTCCAGATGAAGGTAAGAGCTGGAGAACACATTGGAGGTGACAGTGGAAGCTACAGAACTACTCAAGAGAAAGAAAAGGGAAATAAGAGAAAAGGGTTAAAGAAGGGAGAGAAAGACACAGAGTAGATCCTTGGAGGACACCTGTCTCTCAGTGCCTCTATATCCCCTAGCATCAAAGTATTCAAAAGACTTTAGGGATGAATGATAAAATCACAGAATTACATAATATATTTGAGAGTCCTTTCATGCTTTAAAGTATCCTTCCTCTAACACATGACTCTGACATGGGTTAAAAGTTCTGATGTTCAAAGCACTCATGAAAGGCTGATCTTTCAATTTTTTTTTTTAAGACTAGTCAAGCGATTGACATTTCCTAAAAACATTTCAGTCATATCTCAGAAAACACACATAACGTTCAATTGGCTTTCTTTCTACCAGAATGTCTGATGCTAATTTGGAAGAATTTCATATACTTTCTATTTGCCGAATGTACAGCACATTCTCTTCACTTCAGCACTGACAACCCAAAGTGCTTCACTGAGGAAACAGGACTTTTACCTTTGTTCAAGTTGTTTAATGGTAGCAGCCATCTGATTAGTCTTCTCTTCCAAGCGACTGTTTAGTTCACTTTTCTGTTTTACTCCTAAGTCTGAACTCTGTTATGGAAAATAATCACAAACAAGCTGTATAACAAAAATTCTAAAATATAACCACACATGCCTTTTGAATCTAATGGTAAGTGGGAAAATAGAAATGCTCATATATTTCTGTATCAGTTAATCCTCAAATAGAAAAAAAGGCAATTTGTCTAAAGTTAGTACTGTTACATGCAGCATTATCACAGTAATAGTTTATCAATGTATCACATTCCAGTGTAAAAGCTAATAGAATATATGACTCAGCTGGCATGTTAGACTGCAGAGTAGACATTATCTTATAGGATAAAAAAGACCCCTACCCTCTATTATAATGTGAAAAGTGGCCATGGTTTTCTAGAACAGCAATACAGGATCCCATGATGGTCTTAATCTGAGAGAAGTTTACTGGCAGCTAGCATCAAAATGAGATGTGATTCTTCCCTTTTGTAATTAAAGTGTGATTCTAGAAGATAAGATTGGAGGAGGGAAGCCCCAAGATTTTAGAGAGCCAGTGAGTCTATTCCTCATTATTTCCCCTACCTGCAGCTTAAAGGCAAGTTCATGCTTGAGAGCTCTGAGATCATCCAGCTGCTGCCGAAGAGATACCAGGGCATCCTGCTTCTCACAGACATCCTTCTCCAGCATCTTCATAGCCAATTCCATCTCCTGCCTCATGCTGATCTGCATCTCCAGTTCTTTTTCAACATCCTGCCCCCAAAGGTAAGTAAATTGCTTATACTGCTTCTTCAACTAAGTACAAATCATAAAATTTCACAGGAAAAAGTATACCAAAATTCTCAGTCTTAATATTCTGGCAAAATAGCTTAAGCTACCATTCATTTTCAGAAACATTAACAATGATTAATTAACAATAATTAGGATATACAATAACATTTGCCCAATAATGTACAAATCTGAAAAACCTGCTAAATCAAAGATAGTGCTATTTAATATGTCTAAAATATACACATATTTGAGACACTGCATTAGACATTAAGACAACTGATGTCATATCTTATTATACAAAGATACATACAGGTTTACAGTAGTCAGCATAAAATGAAGTAGTTGCAATTCTCCCAAATTTGAATGTTGTTGATATATTCAAGAGCACAGGGAACCCAGAGGACCACCTGAATCCCTGGGGTAACATCACAATTACTGAGAATGGCCAGTATGGCTAAGAAGCTAACAGAATTTTTAGGTTCATTTAACATGAAACCTCTTTTTGTTTCAACCATTATTACTGCAACATTATTTGGAAGATCAAAGATACAAAGACCTGAGGATCTTCTGCATCTACCTTGTGCCCTGGGCTCACCTAGGCCCTCACCTACTTTCTTAGTTTCTTTCCTTCTTATCAAACATTTGTCTTACTGTTATAAAATGATGTGAAAAATTTTAATATTTTTATTATGTGCCACTTCACTGAGATTCCTGGTTTACAAGATTAGCATTATGGAAAATGAATCATACTCCTTAAAATGCTGACATATATTATTTCTGTATTCTTATGAAAAGTATTACATTTTGAGATCTCATTCACAAACACATAGAAGGAAAATGCTATTTTAAGGATGTTAAAATAATACTGCTGTGTTTTTAAAAACTCTGAAATTCTACCGGGCATGGTTGCTCAAACCTGTAATTCCAGCACTTTGGGAGCCTGCGGCAGGCGGATCATGAGGTCAGGAGTTCGAGAATGGGCTGGCCAATATGGTGAAATCCTGTCTCTACTAAAAACACAAGAATTAGCTGGGCGTGGTAGTGGGCGCCTGCAATCCCAGCTAATTGGAGGCTGAGGCAGGAGAACTGCTTGAACCTGGGAGGTGGAAGTTGCAGTGAGGTGAGATCACGCCACTGCACTCCAGCCTGGGTGACACGGCAACACTCCATCTCAAAAAAAAAAAAAATCTGAAATTGTTATATGCTGTCAACTTGTAATACATGTATATTTTTTGAGACAAGGTCTCACTGTCACCTAGGCTGCAATACAGTGCAATCTTGGCTCACTGCTGCCTCAACTTCCCTGGGCTCAGGTGATCTCCCTCCTCAGCTTCCCAAGTAGCTGGGAATACAGGCATGTACCACCAAGCATGGCTAATTTTGTATTTTTTGTAGAGATGGGGTCCCCCTATGTTGCCCAGGCTGGTCGCAAACTCCTGGGCTCAAGTGATCCTCCCAGAGTACTGGGATTACAGGTGTGAGCCATGGCACTTGGCCTGTAATAATTTTTTAGTACAAGTTAAGTCACCCCTTATTTTCAGACTCTTCCTTATTCTTAGAGACATTGTGGGGAGGTCCCTATGTTTGTCATACTATCGAAACTCCAGGAAGATTTAATATGTTAATAACGGGGGTTATTAAAATCCAGTACAGGAATAGTAATCCTTAATATAAGTCCTTTTTTTTTTTAAAAGAAGTATGATTGACACATAACTGTACATATTTATGATGTACAACATGATGTTTTCATAATATAAAAATTGTGTAATGACCAAATCTGAGAAATGAACAAATCTATCATCTTAAAAATTTATCATTTCTTTGTGATGAGAACATTCAAAAGCCTCTGTTCTTTCCAGAATAAAGAAAAGACAAATAGCTCGTCCCGCCGCCCAAGATGCCAACAGGAAAGAAGGCCAAGGGGAAGAAGGTGGCTCCAGTCCTTGCTGTCGTGAAGAAGCAGGAGGCTAAGAAAGTGGTGAATCCCCTGTTTAAGAAAAGGCCTAAGAATTTTGGCACTGGACAGGACATCCAGCCCAAAAGAGACCTCACCCGCTTTGTGAAATGGCCCCACTATATCAGGTTGCAGCGGCAGAGAGCCATCCTCTGTAAGTGGCTGAAAGTGCCCCCTGCAATTAACCGGTTCACCCAGATCCTGGAATGCCAAGCAGCTACTCAGCTGCTTAAGCTGGCCCTCAAGTATTGACCAGAGACAAAGCAAGAGAAGAAGCAAAGGCTGTTGGCCTGGGCCGAGAAGAAAGCGGCTGGCAAAGGGGACGTCCCCAGTAAGAGACCACCTGTCCTTCGAGCAGGAGTTAACACTGTCACCACCTTGGTGGAGAACAAGAAAGCTCAGCTGGTGGTGACTGCACACAACACGGATCCCATTGAGCTGGCTGTCTTCTTGCCTGCCCTGTGTTGTAAAATGGGAGTCCCTTACTGCATTATTAAGGGGAAGGCAAGACTGGGACGTCTAGTCCACAGAAAGACCTGCACCACTGTTGCCTTTACACAGGTTAACTCGGAAGACAAAGGTGCTTTGGCTAAGCTGGAGGAAGCCATCTGAACCAATTACAATGACAGATATGATGAGATCCGCCGTCACTGGGGAAGCAATGTCCTAGGTCCCAAGTCTGTAGCTCGCATCGCCAAGCTCGAAAAGGCAAAGGCTAAAGAGCTTGCCACAAAACTGGGTTAAATGTACACTGTTGAGTTTTCTGTACATAAAAATAATTAAAACAATACAAATTTCCCTTCCAAAAAAAAAAAAAGAAAGACAAATATTTAAGGTGATGGGTATCCCAAGAACACTGATTTGGTCTTTACAAATTATATGAGTATATTAAATTATCATATGTACCCTGGAACGATGTACATCTATTATGCATTAATAGAAAAAGAACAAAAAGCAACAAATCTCTCTTCTATTTTAAAATATGTATTACTGTTAACTCTAGTCATCCCATACTATGCAACACAGGACCAGAACTCATTCCTCCTATCTAACTATAGCTTTGTACCAGTTGATAAATCTCTTACTATCCCCTGCCCTCTCTCCCTCTGGTAACCATCACCTTACTCTTTACTTTTATGAGAACAACATTTTAGATTCCACAAATGAATGTTATCATACAGGATTTCTTTTTCTGTGTTTGGCTTATTTCACTTCACATAATGTCCTCTAGGTTTAGCCACGTTGCCACAAATGACAGGATTTCATTCTTTTTTATAGCCGAGTAGTATCCCATCGTGTATATGTACGGCATTTTTTTTTATCCATCCACATGTTGATCAACACTAAGGTTGATTCCATATCTTGACTACTGTGAATAGTGCTGCAATAAACATAGGAGTGCAGATTCTCTCTGACATATTGATTTCATTTCCTTTGGATATATCCCCAGTAGTGGGATTGCTGAATCATATGCTAGATTGATTTCTAATTAGTTTATTTTTTATTTTTTGAGATGGAGTCTGGCTCTGTCACCCAGGATGGAGTGCAGCCTCAGCCTCCCAGGTTCAAGCAATTTTCCTGCCTCAGCCACCTAAGTAGCTGGGATTACAGGAGTGTGCCACCATGCCTGGTTGATTTTTTTTTTTTTTAATTTTTAGTAGAGACAGGGTTTCACCACGCTCGTCATGAACTCCTAACCTCAGGTGTAATCCAAAGTGCTTAGATTACAGGTGTGAGCCACTGTGCCTGGCCTGGTTTTTAATGTTTTAAAACAACCTTCACACTGTTTTTCATAGTGGCTATACCAATTTATATTCTCACCAATAGTGTGTAAAGGTTCCCTTTCTCCACATCCTTGCCAACACTTAACTTTCAATTTTTCGATAGCTGCCATTCTGATTACAGTGAGGTGTTACACTATAGATGTATATACATATTATATAGTGTGTGTATATATATATATATATATATAAACATATATGTGTGTGTGTGTACACACACATACACACATGTATTTTTTTTTTTTAAATTCTAAAAGACTTAAGACCAATACTGGATGATAAATGTTTCCATTTATATCTAAGACCAAGTATAAATCAGAAATAACTGCTAAAAATAAAATAGCATAATCCTATATAATGATTCTTTGTAAAGAAAAGAAGAGCCACCACTTCCAAGAATCTTTGCAGGGAGGAGGACTTAGGTAGGAGTGAGGCTGTATAGTTTAAAAAAGCAGGTTCTGTATACTTAATATTCTTGTAATATAAACTATAAAAGCAAAAAAATAAAGATTAACAAAATCTTATTGTTGAGAATACTCAGAAAAAGATTGTGAGTATGGTAAGGCATGTGTGTTAAAAAGAGATAAACCGTTTTACAGGATCTATAATTTTTCAGAACACTACTGATATTCCTAATCTTGGTCTGTATAATAAAACCTCTAAGTGGTCAGTTCCCTTTTAATGTATTCCTGAACTATTAGAAATTAAGCAAAGTTTACCAATCGTAATTGTGTCTCTTCTTTCAAATGCTTTCTTGCTTCACTTAGTGCTTGTCCTTCTGCAGTTCTGTCTTGCTTGGGACCCTTGAAAAGATAAATAACATTGTACATATTTAAGGATTTAATCAGAATTAGCAGAGACTAATATTGCTATTTAGTAAGAAAAAAAGATCGTACTGAAGCAGGTATAATAATGAACAAACACAACAAAGAAACTGAAGAAGTCCAGTATATTTTTAAAGGGTAAGATGAATTGGGGGCTTCCTGACACTTTATTTAAAATCCTAAAATAGGTTACCAAACCAGATGATAGAAGTTTTAAAAATCAGCCTCTAAAAATAACATAGTATTCATTTCAAAATATGAGTTGGACTATAGGTTTTTTTTTTTTGCTTTTTTTTGAGATGGAGTCTCACTCTGTCACCCAGGCTGGAGTGCAGCGGCTCAATCTCTGCCTACTGTAACGTCCACCTCCTGGGTTCAAGTGATTCTCCTGTCTCAGCTTCCCGAGTAGCTGGGATTACAGGTGTGCGCCACCACGCCTGGCTAATTTTTGTATATTTAGTAAAGACAAGGTTTCACCATGTTGCCCAGGCCGGTCTTGAACTCCTGACCTCAAGTTATCCACCTGCCTTGGCCTCCCAAAGCGCAGGGATTACAGGCATGAGCCCCTGCGCCTGGCCCAAGGGCTACAGGTTTAAATGTTAATAGACTCAATCTCCAGAGAATTCACAACTGGTATCTTCAACTATCCAGCAAAATCACAGATAAAAATAAGCAGGTCATAAAAAAATTCTGAGCAGATGGATCACCTTAGTCATGGAAAACTGCTTTGGTTCCGTCTCATAGCCTAGTAAAAGAACAATTTTAATAACTATGAATATTTGAATTCCTAGGGACAGTAGATTATAAGCATGAAGATAAAAGAAAGTAGAGAGATCATCCTAATGATAACAACACTAGCATAAGTAAAAAGTAAAAGATGCTAGTGAATACATAAAAGATCGGGAAAAAACCATCCACAGAAATCAGGGAATATTTAAGTATAGGCGCCAGAAGCTCTACCAACTTCAATAGTCTCCTAAAGTGGCACTACTATGATGTAATAGAGAATTGTCAATGCTGGTAATTATGATCCTCAGTCATCATAAAGGGCTACAAGTATTAAATTATGTCCTTAATTAGAAAGGCTTGGAATTGTACAAAACATAAAGGTTTACAAAATTCTGATTTAGACATGTATAACAAGTTTGGTGCTTTAAAGGATTAAGTTATCCAGAAAGTACATTTATATGGGTAGCTCTTTCCTAGTGGTATCATGTAAATGAGGTGTCACTTCTTATAAAACAGTAACATGGTGTAAAAGTAATGGTATATTTAAAATAACAAATTGTTAAATACTGTATGAATCACCAGTACATAAAAACAAGAAACTGAATTAGACTGTTTCTTGAAGTCTCTAAACAGATGTAGGTGGCTGTGAAGCCAAGAAGCATCTTGTAGGAAAAGGGGCATAACCCTCCCTCCCACAACCTTTATCACAAAATTATGCATAGAGTCCAAATAAAAACAGTGTGCTTGATACAGGCCTGCTGCTTAAAACAGTCCTTTAGAGACTCTCCTTTACCACTAACAAGCTGATATGCTCTCTATGAATATTTTACAAATCCAGCAAGATTAACCTTCCGATTGGATTCCAGTATGTAGGAACTTTCCTCTTTAACTCGTTCCATTTCTTCTTGTAAGGTAATGATCCTGTTGTTTGCAACTGCAAGCTGTGGATAAAATTTTAAAAATAATCTTTTATCTTTTCAAAATTAACATAGTGTTAAGATAATTCATGATCAGCTAGTATGTAATTTTTAGGCTTGTATATTCTTAAAAAGCAAGCAAGCTATAACCCAATAAAAATGTTCTTACAGGGAACTCAAGAGAAATATTTTTCTTTCTCTATTTTTCTGAGACAGGGCCTCACTCTATTGCCCAGCCTGGAAAGCAGTGGTGCGATCTCAGCTCACCGTAACCTCTGCCTCCTGAGTTCAGGAAATTCTCATGCATTAGCCTCCTGACTACCTGTGACTACAGGCATCCACCACCATGCCCAGGTAATTTTTGTATTTTTCATAGAGACAAGGTTTCACCATGTTAGCCAGGCTGGTGTTGAACTTCTGGCTTCAAGAGATCTGTCCACCTTGGCCTCTCAAAGTGCTGGGTTTATAGGCATGAGCCACCACACCCGGCCAAGAATATTTTTAGATGAGGCTAAATAAAAATAAAACATATCTCCTTATTGCTACTTTTATATGAAAAGTTTTAACTTAAGATTATCTCAAGGATGTTCTTATTAGTAAGAAAAAGATATATTTGTTAAGAATGTCTACTTCTAAAATGTTTAATAAATAGGTCCTGTCCATAGGCATAGGCAAGGACTTCATGACTAAAACACCAAAAGCAATGGCAACAAAGGCCAAAATAGACAAATGGGATCTAATTAGACTTAAGAGCTTCTGCACAGCAAAATATCTTTAGAGTGAACCGGCAACCAACAGGATGGGAAAAAATTTTTGCAAGCTACCTATCTGGCAAAGAGCTAATATCCAGAAACTACAAAGAACTAAAACAAATTTACAAGAAAAAAACAACCCCAGCAAAAAGTGGGCAAAGGACATAAACAGACACTTTTCAAATGGAAGACATTTATACAGCCAACAAGCATATGAAAAAATGCTCATCATCACTGGTCATTAGAGAAATGCAAATCAAAACCACACTGAGATACCATCTCACACCAGTTAGAATGGCAATCATTAAAAAATCTGGAGACAACAGATGCTGGAGAGGATGTAGAGAAATAGGAACACTTTTACACTGTTGGTAGGAGTGTAAATTAGTTCAACCATTGTGGAAGACAGTGTGGCGATTCCTCATGGATCTAGAAATAGAAATACCATTTGACCCAGCAATCCCATTACTGGATATATACCCAAAGGATTATAAATCGTTCTATTATAAAGACACATGCACACGTATGTTCACTGCAGCACTGTTTACAATAGTAAAGACTTGGAACCAACTCAAATGCTCATCAATGATAGACTGGGATAAAGAAAATGTGGCACATGTACACCATGGAATACTATGCAGCCATACAAAAGGATGAGTTCATGTCCTTTGCAGAGACATGGATGAAACTGGAAACCATCACTCTCAGCCAACTGACACAAGAACAGAAAACCAACCACATGTTCTCACTCTTAAGTGAGTGTTAAACAATGAGAAGACATGGACACAAGAAGGGAAACATCATACACTGGGATCAGTTGGGGTTTGGGGGCTAGGGGAGGGATAACATTAGGAGGCATACCTAATGTAGGTGGCAGGGAGATGGAGGCAGCAAACCACCATGACATGTGTATATGTATGTAACAATCCTGCAAGATCTACACATGTATCTCAGAACTTAAAGTATAATTTAAAAAAAAAAATGAAAGAAAAATCAATAAATAAATAGGTCCTGTCACACCATGGAACCCATGTGACAAATTCTTCATAAGATCTTTTATAGATTTCTAAAAAGAATTAAAAAATGAACTCCAAAGTTCTAATGCTAAAAGATCTTATTAAGCATTGAGGAGATTTTTTATTTCAATGCCTAAAAAAATCAGGTAATGTTAGTAGCAGTAAACTGCTATGGGGAAACATTTATATCTTTATTTCTCAAAAGAAAAAAGCAAGGCAGAAACACTTTTCCCTTCTCTGCACCTACTAAAACTTCCAGAAAATGTGAAGGTGCCTGCATGAGGCTGGGAGGAATAACCAATCATGCTCCTCCAGCCAGGCTCGTCTCCTTCTCAATTATTATCTCCTCACTAGCAGCAGGTGCAGGCTCTGCTCAGTTCCTGTCCTAACATGGTAAGTACAGAGAAGCTCATGCTTTCTGCGGGCAGGCCTGGAAGCTCAATTCTCTCTCGGATCCGGTGGCCTAAAAATGTGCACGAAACTACTTCTGGGCAAGTTGGTCTCTTCTCTAGATTCAAGTTTGCCCTCAGGAGGGTTGTTTGAAAATCTTGATTTAAGAGAAACTATTAGGAAACCTGATTATGGCTGCAGATATAGGAGGCTTTCCAATTCAGCTTTACCAATAATGAAGTGGACATTTATTTATCTATCTATTTATTTATTTGAGACAGGGTCTCCTCTGTCGCCCAGGCTGGAACATGGTGGCACAAGCTTAGCTAATGAAGCCTTTGTCTCTTGGGCTCAAGCAATCCTCCCTCCTCAGCCTCTCAAGTAGCTGGGGCTACAGGTATGCACCACAACACCTGGCTAATTTTGTGTAGAGATGGGGTTTCACTGTTTCCCAGGCTAGTCTTAACTCTTGGCCTCAAATGATCCTCCTGCCTTGGCTTCCAAAGGGCTGGGATTATAGGTTTGAGTCACCGTGCCTGGCCTGAAGTGGATATTTATATCTTCATCTGCCTAATTCTTCTTAGTCAGTCATTCAAGTTCAAATCCCAGGAGGGGAAAAGAGGTCTCCTATCTTATTCTACTGGCCGTTTTTTTTTTTTTTTTCCTGAGAAAAGATTTTGCCATGTTGCCCAGGCTGGTCTTGGAATCCTGGCCTCAAGTGACCCACCCACCTTGACGTCCCAAAGTGCTAGGATTACAGGTGTGAGCCACCGTGCCTGGCCTTACTGGCCCTCTTAAACCCAAAATGGAAATGAGAAAAGACAGAACTAATGAGCCTTATCTGCTCTCTTAAAGCATATTTTATTTAAGAAAATAAGTGTTATTGGTAAAATAAGTAAATGAATAAATGAATATTTTTAGTATTAAAATATTATAATAAATCTAAGGATGACAAGTCATACGACTGAGGGAATAAAATTAACAACTATATTTATTGAGTGCTTATGATGTGCCAGGTACTGTTCTAAGCCCTAATCATGTATTAAACCATTTCACGGCCGGGCGCAGTGGCTCAAGCCTGTAATCCCAGCACTTTGGGAGGCCGAGGCGGGTGGATCACGAGGTCAAGAGATAGAGACCATCCTGGTCAACATGGTGAAACCCCGTCTCTACTAAAAATACAAAACATTAGCTGGGCATGGTGGCGCGTGCCTGTAATCCCAGCTACTCAGGAGGCTGAGGCAGGAGAATTGCCTGAACCCAGGAGACGGAGGTTGCGGTGAGCCGAGATCGCGCCATTGCACTCCAGCCTGGGTAACAAGAGTGAAACTCTGTCTCAAAAAAAAACAAAAAACAAACAAACAAAAAAACCATTTCACACAACAATCTCATAAAATAATTATTACTGCTATTTCCATGTTACAGATAAAGCAAATCAAGGAATAACCGCTTAAGTAACTGGCAAAAGATTAGAAGACTAGCAAGTGCTAGGTATAATGGCTCATGCCTATAATTCCAGCACTTTGGGAGGCCGAGGCGGATAGATCATCTAGGGTCAGGAATTTAAGGCCAGCCTGGCCAACCTGGTCAAGCCCTGTTTCTACAAAAATCAGCTAGGTGTGGTGGTATATGCCCGTAGTCCCAGCTACTCGGGAGAGTGAGGCAGGAGAATTGCTTGAACCAGGAGGCGGAGGTTGCATTGAGTGGTGTCTACAGTGAGCTGAGATCATACCACTGCACTCCAGCCTGGGCAACATAGTGAGACTCTGTCTCGGGGGGGAAAAAAAAAAAAAAAAAAAAAAAAAAAGCCAGGTGCAGTGACTCATGTAATTCCAGCAGTTTAGAGGCCAAGGTGGGTGGATCACAAGGTCAGGGAGTTCAAGACTAGCCTGGTAAACATGGTGAAAACCCTCCTCTATTAAAAATACAAAAAAAATTAGCTGGTGTGGTGGCACACAGCTGTAGTCCCAGCTACTTTGGAGGCTGAGGCAGAAGAATCACTTGTACCCAGGAAATGGAAGTTTCAGTGAGCCGAGATGGTGCCATTGCACCCCAACCTGGGTGACAGAGAGAGACTCTGGCTCAAAAAAAGTAAAATTTAATTAAAAAAATACAAAATAAGACTAGCAAGTGCCAGAGCGAGGACATGAACCCAAGTAGCCTAGCTTTACAGATCATGCTTAATTGCTATGCTGTACTGCTTCAATATAGTAGCAGCAGAATCACAGTAAAAAAATCTGTGCTGAACATTCCAAAAGCCTATGTGATAAGATTCTAAGGACCATAAGCATAAATTAAAGCTTTAAGATATATAAAATTAAATTTTTTTTTTCCAGAAATGAAGGCCATAGAGCTTCAAAAAAGCCACAGAGTAATAAAAAAGGTATTTTAAAACTGTAACAATGAAAGTGTTCATTTTAAAGAAAAACCGATTAAAAGCATCTTCCTGACTAGTGTTTTAATTTGATTTTATTTAAACTAAATTCATCCCATTGGGGTTTAAGGGCATCATTATAATCAGAAATGAAGAAGGTAGGCCAGGCACAGTGGCTTACACCTATAATTTTACCACTTTGGAAGGCTGAGGTGGGCAGGTCGCTTGAGCTCAGCAGTTCACAACCAACCTGGGCAACATGGCAAGACCCTGTCTCTACTAAAAACAGCCAGGCATGGTGGTGTGTGCCTGTGATCCCAGCTACTTGGGAGGCTGAGGTGGGAGATCACTTGAGCCCAGGGGGCAGGGGTTGCAGTGAGCCATTGTGCTGCTGCACTCCAGCCTGGACAACAGAGCGAGATCCTATCTCAAAAAAAGAAAAAGAAATAAAGAAGGTAAACTCTTTGCCATCTGGATAATGTTATTTCGTATTTTTAGTAAAAACATCTAATGCTATTTAAAGAAAAAATATCTCTAGCTAAGGCTTTGGCAAGTTAGGGAAAAAATCTTTTTATTAGAAGTAAAACATGAGGTTATTTTTCTGTTCTTATTTTATGGACTTTTCTAAGAGTTTTTACATTCTTGTCTATTCTTACCTGATCTTCAGAGTTAACCGTGAGGCTGAAAGGCAAGTGCATTGTAAGCACTCTCATTTTCCAGTGAGGGAACTGGGCCTCTTAGAGGTCAAGTGACTGACTTACTCAGGAGCACATGACTTACATAAGCATGATTTGTAAGCAGAGATCACTGATCTTCTGACCAGAACTCTTTACCTTATCTATGTAATTGTCCCAGGAAGAAAAGAAGGACATAGGGGGTGGGGAGTTTGCCAATCTGGAACATAAATCAATGCCTGGCACATATAAATATTTGTCTAGCTCTTGCACATAAACAGTGTCTGAAATGTTCACTGAATGAATAAATGATGAACGTACTATATGCTAAACATTTATTCTAGGTTAGCCCAGGCAAAATATGCACACAAAATAAACTAAGATACTTCATCATCCAGGCAACATGCCCCTACACAGTCCAACTGGGTAAATGAGACCCCTCCAATAAGCCAACTGGCCATTCTAGTCAGAATAAGGAGTTACACATTACAGTTGATTTTATTTGAAAAGTCAAGTTCTTCCTTTCCAAGGTTACATAAAAATTATTGGTTCTACTAATGCATATTAAATTCTACAAGTCAATCAAAGAATTAACAAAACTTACCTCCTCTGTCAGTTTAGTGTTGGATTTTTCTAATGCATCTACTTTTGCCTGAAGGTTGTTTACAGTAGCACTATCAAGAGAAGAAAAAAAATGGTCACTTTTGGAAAACAGAACAATACCCTGTACCGTCCTTTTTAAACCCTTCACACTTAGCCTTCATTGTATTGTCTAATGTTCACGATTCCTTTTTTTTAGACAGAGTCTCACTCTGCTGCCGAGACTGGAGTGCAGAAGTGCAATCTTGGCTCATTGCAACCTCTGCCTTCTGGGTTCAAGAAATTCTCGTGCCTCAGCTTCCTGAGAAGCTAGGGACTATAGGCCCGCACCACCAAATCCAGTTAATTTTTGTATTTTTTGGTGGAGACAGGGTTTCACCATGTTGCCCAGGCTGCTCTCGAACTCCTGACCTCCAGTGATCCGCGTGCCTTGGCCTCCCAGAGTGCTGGGATTATAGGCATGAGGTACCACACCCAGCCTTAATGCTCACAATTCTTGACCTCTAATCTTACAGAAGGCAGTGTCTGCTTCAACTGCTGTATCTTTGGCATTTGAGTTTTAATTCAGTAAGTATTTATTCAGTGAAATAAAAGAGTTCATTCCCTATGCAGTAAACTTTAAAGTTTGTCTACATATGATCATAACAGGCTATATGAATTAAGTGCTTACAAGCCCTCTTCTAAATTATGTCATTTGCATTACTGAATGTATTCCTTTCAACAACCGTTTATGTTAGGTATTCTCAATTACAGTTAAAGAAACTAATGCAAAGAAAGAGCAAAGAATAGTGCCATTGTTTATATTTCATTGTGAACTGTAACCATATTTTGCTTGGCTAACATCTCCATAGTTTATTACAGTCATTATATTAGTTCTCGGTCCCCAGAGAAAATATACTTAAACTACTGAATTTGCTAGGTGGAACCAAGACTACTCAAAATGTCACTGATAGCAGTATAATCATAAGTTTTATTTAAATTAAAATGTCTACTTTTTCATAAGAGAACTACAAACAAGATAATAATTGATGAATACATTAATTATTGTTCAAAATTATTCACTAGTCTTAACATAACAAGAACATCAAAGTACTTGAGATTACTAGTAGTTTTTGGATAGCTCTTCTCAAGGGAGAGAAAACTGTTTCATGTTCTGTAAAGTTCTGAAACTACAGTCGGCTCCTCTTATCTATAGTTTTGCTTTCTGTGATTTCAGTTACCTGCACTCAACTGTGGTTCAAAAATAGATGAAAATAATACAATAAGATACTCTGAGGGAGACACTGCATTCATATTTCTTTTGTTATAGTCTGTTGTTAAAACTGTTCTATTTTATTATTGTTGCTAATCTCCTGCCTTGCCTAATTTGTAAATTAAACTTTATCACAGGTATATATGTAGAGGAAAAAAACACAGTATATGTAGGATTTGGTACTGTCTGTGGTTGCAGATAGTACCAAATGTATACCCTCCACATAAGGGGGAACTACTGTACTTGGTGAAAACTTGCCGAATTAACTGTAATAATGGTGAAGGGTAAATTAATGCTATTAATTCAATGTATAAATGAGAAATGCAGGGAAGCAAAATAGGTATTTTTTTTTTCTTTTTAGACAGGGTATCACTCGGTAACCCAGGGTGGCCTCACAGGTAGCTGGGACTACAGGTGCACACCCAGCTAGTTTTCTTGAGTTTTTTAGTAGACAAGGTCTTGCTATGTTACCAGCTGGTCTCAAACTCCTGAGCTCAAACGATCCTCCGGCCTTGGCCTCTCAAAGTGTTGGGACTACAGGCTTGAGCCACCACACCTGGACGATATGATTAATTTAAAGGTACTAATGTAATGAGTGGTTTACCCAAGATCAGTCCTGAAATATGTGACTATATATGCTAAACAAAAAGCTACCAATTTTCAACTGTGTATGTTACATATTTTAAAAATTTTTTTTTTTTTTTTTTTTTTAGACGGAGTTTTGCTCTTGTTACCCAGGCTGGAGTGCAATGGCGCGATCTCGGCTCACCGCAACCTCCGCCTCCTGGGTTCAGGCAATNCAACCTCCACCTCCTGGGCTCAAGCGATTCTCCTGCCTCAGCCTCCCAAGTAGCTGGGACTATAGCCACACACCAATGTGCCTGGCTAATTTTTTTTTTTAAATGATTATTAAAAGCCAACTAATTTTGTATTTTTAGTAGAGACGGGGTTTCTCCATGTTGGTCAGGCTGGTCCCGAACTCCTGACCTCAGATGATCCACCTGTCTCAGCTTTTTAAACTGCTGGCATTACAGGCGTGAGACACCATGCCTGGCCCTCCTTTTTTTTTCCTGAGACAGAGTCTCAATCTGTTGCCCAGGTTGGAGTGCAGTGGCACGATCTTGGCTTACTGCAACCTCTGCCTCCCTGGTTCAAGTAATTCTCCACCTCAGCCTCACCAGTAGCTGGGATTACAGGCATGCACCACCATTCCCTGCCAATTTTTTTGTATTTTTAGTAGAGGCAGGGTTTCACCATATTTGCCAGTTTGGTCTCAAACTCCCGACCTTGTGAAATACCTGCCTTGGCCTCCCAAAGTGCTGGGATTACAGGTGTGAGCCACCATGTCCAGCCTGAGTTGTTTTTTTTGTTGTTGTTGTTGTTTTGTATTTTTTGAGATGGAGTCTCACTCTGTCGCTAGTCTGGAGTGCAGTGGCGCAATCTTGGCTTACCGCAACCTCCGCTTCCTGGGTTCGAGCGATTCTCCTGCCTCAGTCTCCTGAGTGGCTGGGACTACAGTTGCACACCACCATTCCTAGCTAACTTTTGTATTTTTCGTAGAGATGAGGTTTCTCCATGCATTGGTCACGCTGGCCTCGAACTCCTGACCTCAGGTGATCTGCCCACCTCAGCCACCCAAAGTGCTGGGATTACAGGCGTGAGCCACCGTGTCCAGCCGGCAACCAATTACTTTAGAGAGACAGTTAACAACTGCCCGACCATCACATGTTGTCGCCTGATATTCCTGGTTGGGGGGGCCTCTCCTCCCTGCTCCTGGCTGGCTGGCTACTTACTGTAACAACGTCCCACTGTTGGCTCCACCAAGGACTTACGGAAGCCGACTGAGGCTCCAAATGGCTCTGGGGAGATTCAGTATTATTACTCTATAAAGAAAAAGCTGCCCCGCCTCATGGCCTCAGAAGTCAGTCAAGAAATGGGGATTTAGATAAATAAGCAGTTTAGAAAGGGTGTTTTGTTTTATTTTGTTTTTGTTTTAACAGGGTCATACTCTGTTGCCCAGGCTGGAGTGCAGTGGTGTGATCACAGCTCACTGCAACGTCTGCCTTCTGGTTCAAGTGATTCTCTTGCCTCATCCTCCTGAGTAGCTGGGATTACAGGCATGCACCACGCCCGGCTAATTTTTGTATTTTTAGTAGACACAGGGTTTCGCCATGTTGGCCAGGCTGGTCTCAAACGCCTGGCCTCAAGTGATCCACCCACCTCAGCCTCCCAAAGTGTTGGGATTACAGGTGTGAGTCACCGCGTCCAGCCCCTTCTCTCATATTCTTTCATGATGAGGCCAACTAATTCCAAAGCCAAAATTCCTAGTTGCCCAGAAAATCGAGTTTCCCTATCCTTCAGGCCTGGAACTGCTTCATTCCAGGAGGTGAGTGCAAAATATTTGGGCTCTCTGCTACCACTGCTGCAGGAAGGAGAGGGCAAAACTACGTTTCCACTGTACAGCAATGCAAACGTTCCTGGCACACCGAAAACGTGAGCAGCTGACGCCTCCCACGTGTTCACAACGCACTGGCCCTAAGCGAATTTGTTGAGTTCCTACGAGCTGCTACTGGCGTATAAGTTCTGTGGTTTGTGCATTTTGTGACTGACATGCTAAGGCACAGAGAGGTTGAGTCAGTTATCCAAACGCATTCAGCTGTAGTGAGGGGTCGAGAGTCTGCCCCACACCCCTCACTCACTGCCCTTCGGTCACAGGATGAAGGCCAGGCACTTGCAGGGCTAGCTAGAGGCCGTTCTGTCCAGCCTGTCCCAGGTCAGCTGCCATGCCCACCCACTCTGGCAGGAAGGCTGCTTGCGGCCTAAAGACCAAGTCGAAGGGGGAGTACGGCCGTGTGAAGTTGGCCAGGTAGATGGTGTCCCCACCCGTGAGGTAGGCAGCCCAGGTTCCAAAGGTGCCCACGGTGATGATGGTGTGATTGCACTGTGTCAGCAGTGCAAAGTCCCTGGCAGGTGAGCCCTGGAGGCCATTCCCGGCAAACACCACATCCCCGAGGGAGCTGTTGATCGTTTCCCGGCACCAGGCCATGTCATCGCTGGCGACCACAAAGACCGGGAGGCGGTAACGGGCCCGGAACCAGTCCAGGGCCCGCTGCAGGTAGCCCCGGTCAGCTAGCACCCCCTTCCACACGCGCGGCATGACACGGACGTAGTCCCCCCGGCGCACATGGACCCCCACGAAGGTTGCCTGTTCCGCCCACCTGGACTGCAGGCCCCGCAGGAACCTCTGGGCCTCCTCGCGCACGTGGTCGTGCAGGGTGAACTCCTGGAGAATCTCGTGGCGGAGGTGGTGGTAGAAGGTCCAGGAGCTGGGGTAGCCCGTGAGGCGAACATAGCGCCCCGGGATGTGGCGGTACTCCTCTTCCATCCAGTCGTTCAGATGGTAGTTCTGCCAGGGGATCCTGCTGGCCGTGGTGCTGTGCAGCACCGGCAGGGTAATTCTGAAGATGGGGGCCAGGGCGCTGTGCATCTGGGCAGGGATGAAGGCGGGCCGCCCATTCAGCTTGGCCAGGGCGTACAGTGTGGCGTACTCGCCCATCTGGTTCCCCAGGCGGCCCTTGGAGTTGATAGTGAACAGTCCCTCCTGGGGGAGGTGTCTGGGGGCCAGGACCACACGGGCTGAGTATGCCCAGGGTGCGGGCACTAGAGCCAGGCGCTGGTGGCAGTGGAAGACGGTGGATACCACGAAGATGGCAAAGAGGAAGTAGACGGTGGAGAAGGAAGGGCGGGTGGTCCAGAATCCCTTGATGGCTGCTGGGAGGAGAGAGGACAGGGTCAGGAGGGAAGGCTAGGGGTACAGGAGTCTCTCACCCACCCCTGGCCAAAGTCATTCACTCATGCACTCAATCCATCCATCCAACCCTCTGTCCTGAGAGCCAAGGTGCATGGGAGAGACCTCAGAGCACAGAGTCTGGGGTCTTTCCACCTGCGACTGAGTTCCAGCCGGAAGTCCCAGCCTCACCAGCACCATGTGGCTTCAGTCAAGTTACTGCAGCTCGCTGAGCACAGTGGCTCATGCCTGTAATCCCGGCACTTTGGGAGGCTGAGATGGGAGGATCACCTGAGCTTGAGTTCAAGAGCAGCTTGGGCAAAAAAGTGAGATCCTATCCCTACAAAAACCAAACAAACAAAAAAACAACTTTTAAGGCTGGGCATGGTGGCTCATGCGTGTAATCCCAGCACTTTGGGAGGCCAAGGCAGGCGGATGGCCTGAAGGCAGGAGTTCCAGACCAGCCTGGCCAACATGATGAAAGCCCATCTCTACTAAAAATACAAAAATTAGCCAGGCGTGGTGGCAGGCATTTGTAATCCCAGCTACTCAAGAGGCTGAGGCACGAGAATTGCTTGAACCTGGGAGCCCAGGAGACGGAGGTTGCAGTGAGCCAAGATTGTGCCACTGCACTCCAGCCCAGGTGACAGAGTGAGACTCTGTCTCATAAATAAATACTTGCAGAATATCTATTACATGCCAGGCACAGTGCTCAGGGCCAGGAAGCCAGCAGGGGACAAAACAGACAGGAATCTTTGGTGCCTGTGCAGAAAGAGCATGGTGGGCCCAAGTTCACGGGCAGACTCTGCCTTCTGCAGGCTGGTGACGTGGAGGTGTCATTTAACTCCTCCTCCATGAAATGGGGCTGCCACACACCTGCACTGCTAAGTGCTAATTGTTTCCTGACGCTATTAGTGGGTGTTGTGGATTCAAGATGACCATAAACTCCTGGACTCCCTTTCCCTTGAATCTGGGTGGGGCCGTCACTGCCTTGAGCAGTTTAATACCGGGCAAGCGAAACTGTGTCCGTTTCTGGCCCAGGACTCAAAAAACTAGCAGCTTTCACTTCTTGCCTTGGGAATGTTCTCTCTACACTATCATGTCAAGCTGGAGAGTTCAGCTTTTGTTTTTTGAGACAGGTTCTCGCTGTTACCCAGAATGGAGTGCCAGTGGTGTGATCATAACTAGGCTCAGGGATCCTTCCACCTCAGCCTCACCAGTAGCTGGGACCACAGGCGTGTGCCACCACACTCGGCTAATTCTGACATTTTTTGTGGAGATGGCGTCTCACTATGTTTCTGAGGCTGGTGTTAAAGTCCTGAGCTCAAGCAATCCTCCTGCCTTGGGCTCCCAGAGTGCTGGGATTACAGGTGTGGGCCAGTTTTAGCTTTTGTACGTAGGGCTGTGATTAGCTCCTCTTTTTTTTTTTTGAGATGGAGTCTCACTCTGTCGCCCAGGCTGCAGTGCAGTGGCGCGATCTTGGCTCACTGCAACCTCCGCCTCCCAGGCTCAAGTGATTCTCCTGCCTCAGACTCCTGAGTAGCTGAGATTACAGGCTTTTTGAGTAGAGAAAGGGATTCACCATGTTGACCTCAGGTGATTCCCCCACCCTGGCCTCCCAAAGTGCTGGGATTATAGGCATAAGACACTGTGCAGGGCCCAAATGTTTATTATTACATGAAAAACAAACTGAAGATAAAGAAGGTTCACTTCTACAACCAACTAATCTGTAATAGACAAAAGTTAAACAGCCAGCTTTTTCAGTTGAAAGATAAAATTAAGGCCCCATATCTATACAATTACCAAAATAACAGTGAGATAATTTTAGCTCAATGTCAAAAATTAAAAATATCAGACTAATTATGTTTTTAATGGCTAAATTTATAAAGAGTATAGATGTGCTTCTGATCTCTAATTACTAAGTATCATAATGAATATTTTAAAACTGTTTAACATAATTTTAGATTTACAAGAGGAGGTATAAAGGCAGTACAGAGTTCCCATGTACCTTCACTCAGTTTCCCCTAATGTTAACATTTTACATAACCTCATGGTGCATATTTCATATTGCCAATTTTAAGCAAACTGAGAAAGTAATCCCTCTTGTCAAAATGACTACGTTTAAAAATCTACTATAAGAGATGGAGAACTGAAATCCTCTAGAAAATTTTTATTTTATTTGCCCCTGGAACCACATAGCAGGAAAATTATTAAACAAAACAAAAACCCTTTTAGTGTTTAATGGTAGGCATAATAGTCAGATATTTTTGGCAACACTTTATTAAAGCTATATGATTAGAAATTCTTTCAGCAAATCTGTTAAAACAGTGTTGTTATAAACTTTAAATACTACCAAAGGAAAATAAATACTACATCGGGAGAAAAGAAACCTATTTTTTTTGTACGTACCCTTCACTACCTTTACTGCTGTTCCCGTCCTTGAGATACATTGAAAAATCTATAACTCCAACCTACAGAGATAATTTTCAGATTTTAATATAAAATTAGATATTCTTTACAAGCCATAACAAAATGTCTCTAGGCACTCAAAACATAATACAGTCATGACAATTTCTAGACATTTATGATTAAAAATTTACTGTTTTACTTTTAGTTTAATCAAGTATTGACAAGGGTTGGAAGTAAAAAATCAAGATTTTGTGTCAATAGGACTGGAAGACCAGATCATAACTAAAACAGTCAACAGAATACTTAATATAAATAAGGTCTAAAGTTTCTCTTTTGCTTATTTCAGGTATTCCACTACTGAATCCTTATTTATTTTTAGAAATAACTTTTTAAAAATTAGCACATTTCCCCTGTAGAAGTTTCAGAAAATACAGCTAAACAAAGGGACAGTAATATTAAACACTCATAATCCCAACCACAGGAAGATGACCATTGCTAACATTTTGGTGTCTATTCCTCCAAACTTTCACTGATGTACATGTCTTCATTTTTCAAGACTGCCATTTTATTACTTAGCTTATTTCTTTTTAAAAGATCCTATTCCCCTTTCTATTTTACCAGAACAAAACATAACGGAAGTCTGTCATAGTATTTCATACAGAATGGGTGAGAAGTAATCAAAGAGAAAACATTAGCTTTATTTACTGGGCAATTAATATGTGCTAGGCCCTGTTCTAACTGCATTACATCAAGGAATCTGAAGCACTAAGAAACTAAGTAATTACAAAATATATTCAGCTAGAAAATGAGGAAGCCAGAATCTGAACCTAGGCAGTTAGCTTCAGAGCCTTTACTCTTAACTACCATGCTTTAATGGCCTTTAGTACAGTTGGTTCTCCTTATCAGCAGCTCCTAAAACCCAAAGGACAGAGAGGGCTGACTGTAAGGGGTTTGAGCATCGTGGGTTTTCATAGCCATGGAGGTCCTGGAAACAATTCCCCCTGGATACTGAAGGACAACTGTACAGTTGATCCTTGAATAACACGACTTTGAACTGTGCAAGTCCACTTATACAAAGATTTCCCTCCATCTCTGCCACTCCTGAGAGAGCAAGATCAACCTCCTTCCTCTTCCTCCTCCTTGTCAACCTGGTTAGTGTGAGGACCTTTATGATAATGTGGTTCCTTTATGATGATCCATTCATTTAAGTGAATGGTAAATATATTTTCTCATCTTTATAATTTTCTTACAACATTTTATTTTCTCTAGCTTACTTTATTGTAAGAATACAGCATATGAAATATACAACAGGCCAGGCACAGTGGCTCATGCCAATAAACCCAGCACTTTGGGAGGCCAAGACAGGAGGATTGCTTGAGCTCAGGAGTTCAAGACCAGCCTGGGCAACATGGCAAAACTGTCTCTACAAAAAATACAAAAAAATTAGCTGGGTGTGGTGGCATGCTCCTGTAGTCCCAGCTACTCCGAAGGCTAAGGTAGGAGAATCAATTGAGCCTGGGAGGCAGAGGTTGCATCGGAGCTGAGTTCACGTCACTGCACTCCAGCCTGGATGACAGAGTGAGACTTCATCTCAAAACAAAACAAATATATACATATAAATGTATATGTAATATACAAAATAGTATTAATTGACTGTTTATGTTATCAGTAAGGCCTCTGGTCAATCGTATGCTATTAGTACTTATGCTTTTTGGGAATAAAAAGTTGTATTTGAATTTTCTACTATGTGGAGTGTTTCTACCACATGGTGTCCCTAACCCTGTAATACACCACACACACACACACACACACACACACACCCCTCGTTTTACTGCACTTTGCTTTTTGTACTTCACAGATACAGCATTTTTTACAAATTGAAGGTTTGTGGCAACCCTGTGTCAAGCAAGGCTATTAGTGCCATTTTTCCAACAGCATGTGTTTGCTTCATGTATGAATTTCACGTTTTGGTAATTCTCACATTTCAAACTTTTTCATTATTATTATATCTATTATGATCATCTGTAATCAGTGTTCTTTGATGTTACTATCAAAATTATTTTGGGGCTCCATGGACTACACCCATATAAGACGGCAAGCAATCCATAAATGTGTGTGTTCTAACTGCTTTACTGACTGGCTGTTCCCCAGTCTCTCTCCCTTTTCCTTGGCCTCCCTATTCCCTAAGACACAATGATGCTGAAATTAGGCCAATTAACAACCCTGCAATGTCCACTAAGTGTTCAAGTGAAAGGAAGAATTGCACATTTCTTACTTTAAATCAAAAACCAGAAAGAAGCTCAGTGAAGAAGGCATGTCAAAAGCCAAGACAGGCCAAAAGGTAGGCTCTTTAGGCCAAACAGCCAGGTTGTAAAAGCAAAGGAAGAGTTCTTGAAGGGAATTAAAAGTGCTACTCCAATGAATCAATGAAAGACAAGAAAGCAAAACTGTGAGGGGGAAACCCCGCAAGAGCTGAGGCAAAGGTCTGAGGCCTCAGTCAACTCTCATATAAATACAGAATTAGAAAAGAATTAGAGATATAGTTACACAGTTATTCCTATATATAATCATAATCACATAGCTATTCACATGTCATCATAAATATATACATAAATATAAACATATAATCTTTATCTTACTAATAAGTCTCAGATCAAGAAGTATGGGACTGAAGTGGCATTGGAAAAACAGGTGACCCTAAGGCAAGATGCTGTAAGCCCTCTGTCACGCCCACATAAGGGCTGCTGGAGAGCGCCCTGGCTGTGCAGCAGCACCAGCGCTGTGAAAGTGCCTGCTGTTTAGCCAGCTAGGGAAGAAGACATCCAAGATGGCTGAGAAGTCTCCTTCCTCGGGGGAGTAAGGAGAAAACTCCACTCTTCCAAGCTCTTGCGGTAGGCCTGGCTGCTGTCAGGGAGGCATACAGACATCCGGGGGCTTAAATCTCTCTGTGTGATACTGTGCTTCAGCGGTCACATTCCATGTCTACTTTTATGTTCTGCTTCCTGCTACCTGGTTCCTCTTTCTTAAAAGATAAGAATTAGTAATTAGTAACATAAATCTTAATGACCTTGCTATTTCTTGACAAGCATGAAAAAAGTGCTGATGCCTTAGGTTTTCTCCTTGCCTCAGCTTCTTGAAAATCCTGGATGGAAAAACAACCTAATTTTTTATATTCACATCAAAATGGAAGAAAATCCTGTTTATGACTCATAGAAGATGCCCTAATTTGGTTGGTTTAATCTAATCAATTCAATTCTGAGACAGCAGAACTCAGAGTGATACACATGAGAATGAGTATCTTTCCCATACCTGAGAGTCCAGGTCTTCTCCTTTCATACAGAAATTGGCGTCAATGACATTCAGACCCACGAGCAGACCAGCAATTATGGCTCCTTCTTCTTCCATCATGAGGGCATTGGGTTCATAGAATTCACTGTAAGAGAAATCCACAGAATTCCTTATTGTAACAAAAATCTCAAAAAAACCAGTGACATAGTCATAAGACAAGGACAAAAGTGTTTGCTTCATGGTTGATTACAGTCACCTACAAAAACAATAAAAAGACTGTAAAAAGAAAGTCTTTAGTAAATATTTTATTTTTAGATAATAGGTGGCTGTTCGCAAGTGGCACTGGTGAAAAAAATTTTTAAAAGAGAAAAGATAATAGGTGTATGAATATATTATTTAGATAATAGTCTGGCAGAAAGACATGTGATTGAACACTACTGTGGTTGAGGCAGGTATTCAGACTTTTTTGACATATTTGTATTTGTGATGCACCATCAGATAATTTTTCAATCTTTTATGTATCTTAAAACATTTGTTTGGTAGCTGGGTGTGGTGGTTCACATCTGTAATCCCAGCACTTGGGGAGGCCAAGGCAGGAGGCCTGCTTGAGCCCAGGAGTTTCAGACCAATGTGAGCAACACAGTAAGACCCCATCTTTACTAAGAGCAAACAACAAAAAAATTCTGAATGGATAAAAATTATTGGCTGGGCACAGCAGCTCATGCCTGTAATCCCAGCACTTTGGGAGGCCGAGGTGGATGGATCACATCGCTTGAGCTCAGGAGTTCCAGACCGGCCTGGTCAACATGGCGAAACCCTGTCTCTACTAAAAACACAAAAATTAGTGGGGTGCAGTGCAGCATGCCTGTAATCCCAGCTACTCAGGAGGCTGAGGCAGGAGAATTGCTTGAACCCAGAAGGTGGAGGTTGCACTGAGCTAAGATGACGTCACTGCACTCCAGCCTGGGTGACAGAGTGAGACTCTGTCTCAAAAAAAAAAAAAAAAATTCTGGCTGGGCGTGGTGTCTCATGCTTGTAATCCCAGCACTTTGGGAGGCTGGGGCAGGGTGGATCACAAGGTCAGGAGTTTGAGACCAGCCTGGTCAATATGGTGAAATCCGATCTCTATTAAAAATACAACAATCAGCTGGGCATGGTGGCAGATGCCTATAGTTCTGGCTACTCGGGAGGCTGAAACAGGAGAATTGCTTGAATCCAGGAGGCAGAGGTTTCAGTGAGCTGAGATCATGCCACTGCACTCCAGCCTGGACAACAGAGAGAGACGCTGTCTCAAAAAACAAAAAAAAATTATTCAAAATCCATAGATAATTAAATACTGCTTATAATGCACCTAAATTACTAATACACAAAAAACCAGTGAACATAATTCATATGATCTAACTATTGTATTCCTTGGTGAGTTAAAAACCTATGTCCACACAAAAACCCACATACATGTGTTTATAGCAGCTTTACTCTTAATTGCCAAATTTTGGGAGCAACCAAGATGTCCTTCAGTAGATGAATGGACAATGGCATATGATTGAGCACTAAAAAAGGGATCTGTCAAACCATGGAGGAAACTAAAATGCATATTACTAAGTAAAAGGTGCCAGTCTGAAAACGCCATGTACTGTATGATTCCGACTACATGACATTCTGGAAAAGGCAAAACTATAGAGACAGTAAACCCCTAGTAGCCACAAAACAATCACAGCACGATCAGTGGTTACCAGGGGTTGGAGGACAGAGAGATAAATAGGTGGAGCACACAGGATTTTTTAGGGCAGTGAAAGTATTTTGCATGATATTATAATAACATATGGATACATGTCATTATAGTATACATCTGTCAAAATCCATAAAACATACAATGCCAAGAGTAACCCTAATGTAAACTATGAACTTTGGGAGATAATGATGTGTCAATTGAGGTTCACCAGTTTTAACAAATGTACCACTCTGGTGTGGGATGTTGATAATGACGGAGGTTGCCAGGGGGGAAGGGGATATATGAAAAATCTCTGTACCTTCTACTCAATATTGCTATAAATTTAAACCCACTCTAAAAAATAGTCTTTTAGATATTTTTTCTTCCACCACCTCCCCCCTTTTTTTTGAGAAGACGTCTCACTCTGTTGCCCAAGCTGGAGTGCAGTGGTGTGGTCTCAGCTCACTACAACCTCTGCCTCCCAGTCCAAGCGATTCTCCTGCTTCAGTCTCCCGAGTAGCTGGGATTACAGGCATGCGCCACCACACCAGGCTAAGTTTTGTATTTTTAGTAGAGACAGGGTTTCACTATGTTGGCCAGGCTGGTCTTGAACTCCTGACATTGTGACATACCTGCCTTGGCCTCCCTAAGTGTGGGTATGACAGGTGTGAGCCACTACGCCCAGCTGTCTTTTAGATTTTTAAAAAAAAGCAAAACGGGCTGGGCACAGTGGCTCACTCCTGTAATCCCCACACTTTGGGAAGCTGATGCAGGTGGATCACTTGAGGTTAGGAGTTCAAGACCAGCCTGGCAAACATGGTGAAACCCTTTCTCTACTAAAAATACACAAATTAGCCAGGCGTGGTGGCGCATGCCTGTAGTCCCATCTACTCGGGAGGCTAAGGCAAGATAATTCCATAAACCCAGGAGGTAGAGGCTGCAGTCAACCAAGATGGCACCACTGCACTCTCACCTGAAGTGCCTCAAGCCCTCCAAGTAGCTGGGTCTATAGGTGTGCACCACCATGCCTAGCTAATTTTTGTATTTTTTTAGTAGAGACAGGGTTTCACCATGTTGGCCAGGCTGGTCTCAGACTCCTGGCCCCAAATGATCTACCCACCTTGGCCTCCCAAAGTGCCAGGATTACAGGCGTGAGCCACTGCATCTGTCCAATTTTGTGCTATATTTGAATTTAATGCTACATGTCAAGTTCTTGTCTTACTGAGCCTGAACACATGCTGAGATGCTTTCTGTTTTCTGTAGGTAAGTCTTGGCCTGCCCTGGAAAGGACCAATATATACCACAGCGACAGACAGAACACACATAGCATAAATCTTCCATTTGGGAGTATATGTGTGTGAGGTATAAGAGAAAGTATCAGTGAAGCTGTTAGGAATCAACTGTTTCTGATCTACAACAATGGCAAGCTTATGTGGTTTGACTATATGATGTAGAACATGCCAAGGAAAGAAGTTCAAGACGGTGTTCATACCTGAGAAGTTCTTTCTTATTGATCAAAGCTTTCATATATTCTGAAAGTTTCTTTTGCATTAATGCCAAACGAAGCCAGGCTCTTCCTCTACCCACTGGAGTCCTACAAAAACACAGAAATCAAACAACTAAAAACATAGGCACCAGAAGCAAAGACTACAGTAGAATCAGTTCACTTATTCTTGCTAATGGTGTTCCAGTGTAACAAGTGCACTGAGGTGCTCCTCAGGACCTCTCCTGGCACATTCCTATGCAAGGAATTTTTGTGTGTGGGCTAATGTGACCCGAGGGGGTGTTTGGGACAAATGCTTTCATAAAGAATTACTGAATGTGACTATAATTTGAAGACACAGCCTCTGAGAGACCCAACTAAAAATGTTCCATCAGATTAGTAAGAGCAAATCCTTATAAATTCAGTGTGGATTATATAAATGTCCAAAGCATGAATGTAGACACAAGCAAGCTAGGCCTCTATCTGATTAAAATTAAACTACTCTAATTTGGGAAGGTAATCACTACCTTATAATTCTAAGGCAGGTCTACAGGCACTAGCTCTTCAGATTGATTTGACAGCTGTTTTAATGTTGACTCTCAAACCCCCTAAATGCCTTTTTTCCCTAAGTCAAGTCCAGCATGTCACCCCCTTAGATAAAATTGATTGAGACTCACTACGTGATTCTCTCAAGTGCTTTAACAAATAAGGAAATGTTTGGTATTTCAACATAAAGATAACCTTTCTTAAATGAATAATTATCCCTCAAGAGCACATTTTTCTTAATATTCTATATACCAATTCTCTCACATCAGCACCTATTCATGACACCATGCATTCTGGATTGTTATAAAAGAAATCATTAGAACATAATTGTCTTTAATCTCGCTCTTCTAGGGATAGTTAATAAGAATCCTGTTCCTGAGAAACAGAATTCAACCTCAGACTTACTTAAGTCCTGGAAGATCTTTAACACTTGCTGTTATCTCTGCGGCTTCTGGAACAAGCTTTTCTACCAGTTCTAGAGGTCCCCAGAAGGATTTATTTTGTCCAAGAAAAGTTTTTTTAGCTAAGGTAACAAAAATAAAGCAGTATTTTAATATTCTTTACAAGGTAAGCACTCTCTCAACACACACACAGACACACACACCCACACACCTTTTCAGGAAACCAATCCTAGGTTATAAGATGGTTTTAGATTCATTCATGCTTTTAGAATAGATAATATTTTGTGAAAATAAAAAATTCTCTACTTCCTAGGACTTAGCCTTTCTTCTTTCAAGAACAATTTGTGACCTAGCCCTATAATATAATAAAACATTTTAACAATATAGTGCCTAAAACTGTGTGGTATTAGTGACGAGAACAGTTCAATAGAAAAGAATATGTAATCCAGAAATAGGCTATGGAATATTGGGAAGTTGGTAAGCACAGGCACAGGGATTGAAAAAAACAACCAATCAAACAAAAAACAATAAAAAAAGAATATTGGGAAGGTAGGAAGAAAGGAAACAAGGGTGAACTAGAGCAGGTACTGCCCTCAAAAGCTTATAGTTAAGTGGAAAGAACACTGAACCAAGAGTCAGGAGACTGAGTTCTAGCACCTACTCTGCCACAACAAAGTGTGTGACCTTGACCAAGTCATGTCTCATTCTGGGCAGGCCTATTTCCACCTGTCAAACAGTACTACTGTATTGGACTTGATTACTTAGAATTGCCCTTCTAACTCTAACATTTAATGATCTGTATTTTGTAAGCTCTGTTAAGTCCATTGAGTCAACCACAACCCTACTCCCACACAGACTGCATTCCAATGGATTAATATTAATTCAAGCTTCTTATTCTTTGGCTCCACAAAGAATGCTTTCTTCTAGAGCATGCATTGCTAGGAAACAGCTGGATACATATTTGCATTCTGGGACCATAGCCTACCTTTCAAGCCATGTTTCAGACAGTGTTCCATCACCACAAAGAATTGCTGGAGAGGTGCATAGTCAGAGTCAAGAGTCCTTCCCAGGTTTAGAGCTGATTCAATCAGGCCCTTGATACTCAGCTTGGCCATGTTCATGAGGTTCATGCGTTCGTTAGCCATGAGATAATTAGGATCTGCAGGCAAAGGGGAAGAAGATGAAGCCTGGTTACTAGAAATAGCACATTTTAAAATTCAGTATTAGTTGTATTCTTCTCCGTCATGTACTCACTGTGAAAAAAATGCCACTCTCCTTTAAGAATATCCTCAATTGCCGGGCGCGGTGGCTCACGCCTGTAATCCCAGCACTTTGGGAGGCCGAGGCGGGTGGATCATGAGGTCAAGAGATCGAGACCATCCTGGTCAACACGGTGAAACCCCGTCTCTACTAAAACTACAAAAAATTAGCTGGGCATGGTGGTGCGTGCCTGTAATCCCAGCTACTCAGGAGGCTGAGGCAGGAGAATTGCCTGAACCCAGGAGGTGGAGGTTGCGGTGAGCCGAGATCGCACCATTGCACTCCAGCCTGGGTAACAAGAGCGAAACACCGTCTCAAAAAAAAAAAGAAGAATATCCTCAATTAAAAAAAAAAAAAGAAAAAAAAAGAATATCCTCAATAAAGCAGTAAAATAAACTATTTTATCAATTCTCAAGCCTTGAGTTGTCTTTTTTTCTTTTTATTTGAGACAGGGTCTTGCTCTATCACCCAAACTGGAATGCAGTGGCATGATCACAGCTCACTGTAGCCTGAACCTTCTAGGCTTGAGAAATCCTTTCTTCTCTGCCTTTCAAGTAGCTGGAACCATAGGCTCACACCACCACACCTGGCTAATTTTGGTATTTTCTAGAGAGACAGGGTCTTGAACTCTAGAGCTGAAGTGATATTCCCACCACGACTTCCCCATGTGTTGGGATTATCAGCGTAAGTCAGTGTGCCTGGCTGAGTAGTCTTTAAATACTATCACCACTCCCTCTGCTACCACCCTAACCTGGGTGCTGAGTGTCTGTCTTATACTCCCCACTGTACTACCTTCACACTGATCTCTCTGCTCCCATTCTTGCCTACCCCTCTTTTCTCTGCATAATTTGTGAAGTGCTCGAAAAATAAAGCCTCAATGTAGGAAAAAAGGGTAAAGGGCTTAAACAAATTTTGCATTATGGTATTTTATTATTATTTTTTTTTTTTGAGGAGGAGTCTCGCCGTGTTGCCAGGCTGGAGGGCAGTGGCGTAATCCTGGCTCACTGCAATCTTGCCCCCCACGTTCAAGCGATTCTCCTGCCTCAGCCTCCCGAGTAGCTGGGATTACAGGCATACACCACCAAACCCAGCTAATTTTTGTATTTTTTTAGTAGAGACAAGGTTTTACCATGTTGGCCTCGATCTCCTGACCTCGTGATCCACCCACCTTGGCCTCCCAAAGTGCTGGGATTACAGGTGTGAGCCACCGCGTCCAGTCAGAATTTCATTATTCATTAAACTATTAAGTAGCATTATTAGTATAATGCAGTACTAGAACTTAATCAACTCCCACATTGTTAAGTCTTAGCATACAGTGTATGGCTCACATCAACCAGGCAGATAAACTCTATGGGGGAAGGGGCTAAGTAACACATGTTATTGTACTCATTACCTTCATTTATTGGTGCTTACCCTGTGCCAGGCACAGGGGGCTGCCCCTTACCATAATCATCTCCATCTCTCCCTACAACATGGTGTGAGACAGTCACCAATACAACAATTTTACAGGAAAGGAAAATGAGGAGGGTAAAGCTTCAACTACTCTGCCCTGACTCACTGTATAACCTCAGGCAAGTCACCATCCCATTCTAGGTCAATCAAATAGCGGCAGCTGGCCTACGGGCAAAGCCAATGATCAATGACAGAGCCAGAGTCCAGACTCCATACCATGTGTTCTTCTTGATCATGACAATCCACTTATAAACAAACTGGTTACTCCTAATAATGTTTATCCTTCTCTCCTCCTGACCATTCTTTTACATGACCATTTTACCTACTCATTCTCTCATGATATTTAGGTATTCTCCCTTCCTTGAGGTGCTAAAGCAGGCCCATAATAGCTAAGTGGTCCAAGGTATAATCATAAATAACGGAATCTGGACCTGGATCTGACATGAAAGCTAATGCTCTTTACATTATGCCATATGCATCCTCCCAAACACCAAATATATCAAATTTCTACTGAAAACTAAAGAAGGCCTAGAACCCTATGAAGTATTCCCATTTCTTCTTAGGAAGACTAAAAATACTAATAAAGCTATGCTTCCATAATACAAATAAGCCACTTAACAACAAAAAAAGGCAGACTGTTTAATGCAAATTATCCCAAGCAATGTTCTTCAGATGTTTTTATTTATACCTGCTTTCAAAGTTAAATGAGCACAGTCAAATGGTCAAATTCTAAATTAATCTTCTCATTAAGTTTAAGGACTTAGGGATTTGCAATTCCAACCATATAAATCTTGGCTTGTTGTCATGTTGTCTGAGGTTACTTTTGGAGAAACACTTTATGTGAGAGTTGGAATTGGTATATATTACCATTAATTATTTCTTGCATAACAACAAATGTTTTAGGGCCATAGCTTGAATGTGGCTCTCTTTGTTCATGACAGAGCAACTTGTCAAGGGTAGTATCCTCACAAGAGGACAGAAAAATGCATGGAAAATTACGCTCTGAAAGACAGACATGAACAGACATTAATTTCCATTTATTACCAGCATTTATGTACATTCTAGTGTTTCTGACCTCCTATAATCACTGAAAGAAAGCAATAGGGCAGGGATGTGGGTATGAATGTGTGTAGAGAGCTACTAGCCTTCCCACCGAACACCTCCCAATAGATGGTAGTAGTAGAGTATGATTGGAGCTAGATAACTGTCTGCCCATAGGTAACTTTGAGGCATTCACTCTGCCTCAAGCCTGTAGACCATTAATTCAGGAGCATATGACAAGATTAAACAATGCTACTAGTCAAACTTTACAAGCTGATTCCAATGTAGTGAGAACTAGCCATGTGAGGAAGAGATAGTCTTGGGTTCAGTAAAAAGTATCATACTGAGACATTTTTCCAGAAGTAGTGATAGAGTTATACCAACCCATCTACACTGTCTCATCTTGTTCATATAATCAGCAGCAGAAATGTTTAAGACATCTGGCTGAGGTCTGAGGTGCATGAACTATAGAGAGGTTAACCAGCCTCTATGGAAATTAAATTTCTGATACCATTGACTCCATTACTAAGGTGCTATAATCTATTTAAATTAACTTCCACCAAACATAAACAACCCACCCATTCTTTAAAAAATACTACTCTCAACCTTGGCACTGTTGACATTTTAAGCTAGATAATTCAATTTTACAGGGCTTTGTTCTGCAAACTAATTTTCGCAACATTCCAGTAGTGGTTAAAACTAGATGTCGGTAGCACCCTGCAGTTAAGACAACCAAAAATGTCTCCAGACACTGCCAAATATCCTTTGGGAGATTAAATCATTCCATATTGAGAACTACTAATCTAAACAAGTGAAAGTCAAACAAAAATCTGGTATAGTAATTTAACCGTTAGATATAAGAGCTTAAAAGCAAAAATTCACTTCAGTTAGAATGGCTATTGTTAACAAGACAAAAAATAACAAATGCTGGTGTGGATGCAGAAAAAAGGGAATTCTTACACATTGTTGATGGGAATGTAAATTAGTATAGCCTTTAATGGAAAACTGTACAGAGGTTTCTCAAAAAACTAAAAATAGAACTATCATATGATTCAGCAATCCCACTAGTGGATGTTTATCCAAAGGGAGGGAAATAATATAACAAAGAGATATCTGCATTCCCATCTTTAATTCAGCACTATTCACAATAGCCAAAATATGAAAGCAAACTAAGTGTCATCAACACGAATAAAGAAATGTAGTATACACACACAAACACACACACACATCTTCAATATGGTGTATATATATATACACAATTCAGCCATAAAAAGAATGAAATCCTATGATTCATGGCAGCATGGATGAGCCTAAAGGACAATATGTTAAGAGAAGTCAGTCAGGCACAGAAAGGCAAATACCGCATGCTCTCACTAATATGTGGAAGCTAAAAAAGTTGAGCTCATAGAAGTAGAAAGTAGAATTGTGGTTATTAGAAAATGGGAAAAGTATAGAGGAGAGAAAGACAGGGAGAGGTTGGCTAACGGATACAAGGCTACAGCTAGATAGATAGATAAGTTAAGTTATAGTGTTCTAGAGCATTGTATGGTGACTAGAGTCAATAATGTTTTGTATATTTTCAAATAGCTAGAAGAGGGGATTCTGAATATTCTCATAATAAACAAATGAGTGTTTGAGGTAAGAGATATGCTAATTACCCTGATTTGATCATTATATTGTACATATGAGCCAAAATATCACTCTATACTCCTAAATATGTACAATTATTATACATCAAAAAAATTTTTAAAGAATTTATTGCTCATTGTTAACACAAAAGCTCAAATGAGTATTATTTAATGCTTATTAACATTTTTGTGCAGAATAGCTACAAAAGAAAAGCTTATTCTACATTGGTAATGACTGAAAAACAATAATTTTAAATAAATCTATTTTAAATTTTTGCAATAATTGCTTACAGTTTAAAACTCGACAGAAACTAAGTCCTTGATTGTGAAAGAAACAAGTAAAAGTACTAAAAAGACCTTGAAATAAAACAACATTTAGCAAGCCTGATGACACTTATTTGTATGAGACAATCACAAACTTTTATTCTATCCTCATTAAAAAAAAATACTAATAATAGTCTTAGGATCCTTAGATTATCTACATATCTATATCCATATCCATATCTTTATTTGTCTACTCTCGTTAACGGCATCTCAGGGATCATATTTCTACTCAATAATAAGAAAATCTACTAAAGTAATACTTCCTCTGGATTATCTGTTAAAGGGTCAAAAAAAAATTAACCATCTGGGCCTGGTGGCTTGCACCTGTAATCCCAGCACTTTGGGAGAATGAAGCTGGTGGATTACTTGAGGTCAGGAGTTCGAGAACAACCTGGCCAACATGGGGAAACCCCATCTCTACTAAAAATACAAAAATTATCTGGGCATGGTGCCG